CTGTAGACAGAGAAAACACAGTTCATTTAATGACTGAGATTCTAGGCTGTTTTAGTATTTTTGATTTAAGTTTGGGTGTTTTACTTTTGTCCTTTAATTCCCAAAAATACTTGGAAAGTGAGATCATGTTTCATTTATCTGGGTTGTTGAAAGACGCTGTAATCCTACTGTTTGTTCTCCTACACTTTGATATATATTTCATCATAATTGCTTTAGATGTTTTAAAATATATTTTCTATGAAATTTTAATTTCCTCATTGAAATTGTATATTTAGCCATTTAGACAAATAGCTTGTAGTTATGAAGCATTCTCTTTGATAGAAATGTTTTTTGCAAAGAATACTGAATATCTGCTTGGAAAATACCAAAGGTGATAAATTCTTAACAAATTACACATCTCATGTTATCCTTGTAAACAGATTCTGGTCAAAATGGCTTGTGTTAAAACTAAAATCAAGGTCAGTGTTATTAGATGAGACTCTCTCTCTCTCTCTCTCTCTTTATTTATTTTTTTTTTTGTTAGCTCTGTAAAATTGTCAAATGTTATTTTCACATGATTTTGATGAAACAGAAGTAATTTTTTAAAATAAGCTTTAAAAAAAACAAATGTCATCACAAATTTCCAAGTGTCAAAAAAAAAAAAAAAAAAAAAAAACAGTACTGTTTTTGTTCTCCATTATAACTGTGCGTGTACACAAACACATGTGATTTCTAAGGAATCTGGATATTTTTATCCAACATTATTTTCTCTTGCTCCAAATTTTGTTTTATCAGTGCCCATGTTTGAGTAGACACCCTGGTTTTTTTAACAGTGTGAATTATGCCTTTTCGCCTGCATGCAGTTCAGAATGTAATTGATAGTATCTATTGTTTTTTTTTGTATTTGAACTTTTTGTTTGACCGTTTTTAATTGATAAGTACTAGAGACTATTAATATTTTAATAGTTATCCCAAATTTTATTTTCAATATATCTAAAACTTTTAATACAGACCTAGAGAGCTTGACAAAATATAAAAATAGTATCAAATTTATCTTGGTAGCTCAATTCTCAGCCAAATTATGACCACTCAAAATTTGTATGCTATTGGGCCAGAAGCCAATGTCAACAATGTATAACTGAAGATGCAGGCTTCAAACAAGTGAAAAATTATGAATGCAATATCATACGGGTTGTCTTAAAGTAAAAGAATGATAATACTAACTGAATCAATTATTATTAGATCAGACCAGATTAAACATTGGGGAAAATTGTGTTCTGAATAATGAAATAGTTAAAATATGACACACAAGTGCAATTTTGACTGCTCATATAAGTTTCTTTTCAACAATTAATGCCTTGCTACTTCTTACTATCATAGCACAACATAGATGAAGCTAAAAAATTTTTTCGGTAGTATTATCAATAAAAAAAAACTCAAAAAAACTCAAATACAGTCAGAAGCATAATTTGACAGTAGTACAAAAACAGGTCAAAATATGCCATCTTGAAATTTCCATATAAAGTATCCATTAGAGGTATTGAAATTTTACCAATTTTTGGATGTGGAATTCAACAAACAATTTATTTTCTATGTCATATCAATACCTTTTGTCATAAATGTACCTAATTTTGTGAAATTGACTTGCCAAAAAAAAGGACAGTAATGACTTCAAAACTTAGAAATTTCTTTCATGAAAGGAATCATAGGTCAATCCTTTAAAACAAATGCTTATTGTAAAGCTTTAAGTTCATTTATTTTCAAAATAAAGTGAAATGAAATACATGTATTGGAATTGATGAAAAAGATTTTTTTTGTTGATTTTTTTTGTCTGAATTTCTTTATAAGGCTCTGCTATAGCCAACATTCCTGAAACACTCTATATCCTATCATTACATTACTTAAGTCGTATTATATCTAAAGACCAATGTTGACAAGAATTGTGAAATATCATCCAACATAGGCCATGAAAAAAAACAACTTCTGCCTTTGGTTGGAACTAAAATTTTGATATTACGTCTCTGGGCAGATGACTTAGTCAATATAAAAGTTGGAGTCATAATATACTGAACCCATTGCCTTTGATGCTTATAACTGAAAGCCATCTGAAGTGGGATGGGACATTTCATCACTGCTGACTCAACACCGTGACAACTCACCACCAGCCTATTCAGCAGAAGGACAACTCAACACAGGTGCTGAATTTATAGCTTCAGACCTGTGTTAGCTGTCATTGTCATCATGTGTACATCTCTTAGATTGGTTTTGAATCATAGAGATTTTGAAAGTTTGACTGTTTGACTTGGGCTGTTGTAACAAATAAATCATTATTTGGCTGACTGGGGCTTAATTTTCAAGATTGAACAAATAACCAAGCTGAAGAAGCAAATAGAAGACTGCATACAGAGCTGGGTATAGAGCACCTACAAGCTGGAGATTCATTATGGGGCTGCAAATCCTATTTCAAGTCCACCAAATTGATGCTAATCTTATCAAAATAACTAGGAAATAAGTGAGATCTCATCAGTTTAACTTGAAGGAAATTTCCAAAATTTGACCAATTTTGGCACTGTAAACTAGGAAAGTTTGGAATATCTAATTTTAAATGTAAAAGTAATATAGGCTGCTATTTTATTTATAAATTATCTTAAGAATTCCTTTGCCTTTCATTATTTAAATCTATCAAATGTTTCAGTCACCTAGTAATGTTGTTATAATTTATTTTAATTCATAATACACAAACCCAAAATTGAAAATATTAATTAACAATAGAAAATTAATTTTGAACCACTTTAATGTTGACCATATGAAAAGAGATTCTTCCTATTTTAAAGAGTTTTAGGTAACCCCTGTAAATAAATAAATTAATATTTACCTAATAGAAAATGTTATACTGAAAATTTTTCATTGTTAACTTAGATTGGCTTATTGTATGACAATATGTTTAGTTGCTTATAACTCTCTGGAACCTGCTAAAAATCTATAGCTTTTCTAGTGTTTTTATTTCTATTATCTTGTTTCCTTTTATACTGAAGGGTATAAAAATGTTTATATAGTAACTTTCAAATATTGATTTTAAAAAATAGTACAATAAAGTTTGATTTTTTAATTCTCATTGAAACCAAGAGAGAATTAACTTTTGGTCACAGCTCTTTTATGTACCTATGCTCTTGGTTTATCTCTTCTCTTAGTATAAAGTCAGAGTAGATTTGGCAGTTAGGCTTTATAAATAAAAAATGATAAAAAGATGTGTTTGGGAAATATCTCAGGAAATTTAATACCTTTTGTCTTTCAGCAATTGAAAGTCACTTTTGGGAAAAATGTAGCATTTATAAACTTCCTTTCAACGTGTCAAGGTTTTCATTCTAAAAATTTGTGTATTTCAGTTGTACAATTATTGTTGCTTATTAAAATTATAGAATTTTAATGAATTTACTTTTCAGTTTTTATAATCTACACTTAAGATGTATTACAATAATGCAAGTTTGCTTAGAGAAATGGTTTCTAACTTCTGATGCCCAAGAGATGCATGTCATTTCCAAATATTCTTGAAACCTAGTCAGTAAATTACTGCACTGCTAAATTTGATAACAATTGAAACCTTCTTGAAAATAATCTCTTCTTCACCATCACTAATTTTCATTTGCTTTTTGCAATTTTCTACAGTTCAGATCATATTTTGTTTGAAATCTTTTACTAAAAATAAAACTGATAAGGGATGTCTGAAGCCATATTGTAATTCTTGCTTTATTACAAATATGACAGTTCTTCAAATTTATCTGTTTGCTTTCTTTTATATATATATATATATATATATATATATATATATTAAAAGAAAGTAGATATCTCAGGAATAATTAAAATATAATTTTGACTACCCTTGGGAAAGATAGTGGAATGTTTTTCTGTTTTCTTCTCCATGTTTTTGAATTAGTATTGTCTTAAGTTCTTAATAATTTCTTACAATTCATTTGAAAATCTAATAATCCAGTAAAGATAATGCTCATTTTCACTCACTCACTAATATATATATATATATATATATATATATATATATGTGTGTGTGTGTCGTTTTTAAATAGCAATAGCTTAGTTATGCAGGAATAAATTAGTGTAATCTGTGAGTAATTAAAATATTATCAAAGTAGAGTTAAAATTCTGTTCATATTTGCTGCCATTACTTTTGTATTATTGCTCCTGAAAAAGAACTGTCTAAACATACCTGCAATCCCTTTTTTTTTTTTTTTTTTTAACTTCAGTCTACTCTAGTCTCTTTTTAGTAGGAAAAAAAATCAAGCTATAAACTGAATTAGTGTTCACTTGTAACTTGTGTACTGATCTTTTTTTTTTTTTAACCTAAGCATTGTAAAATTGGAAGATAAAAGAGGAACCAGATTGACATTGATTTATTATTTATAGCCGACAATTTTTGTTTTTTGAATAATTTGTCATCCATTATATTACATGATCACTTGTTCTGTTCATTACTCAATATCTAGATTTGCTTTTTAGATAATCTTGGGATCTTTTTTCATGTTTTCAGTTTACCGTATTTGAAAAATTTATTACATCAAATGTATTTGAGAATTGTGTCCACTTAGTTTTTGCTATGGTCATAATTTGTTTTATATAATATAATTGAATATTTAAATAAAAGGATTTGGGAATTAAGCATAATTATCATAAGTAACTGAAACAAAGCCATATTTTCTTAAGTTTACCTTTTTATAAAAAAAATTTAAATTCTAGCAAAAGTGATTCAATACTGATTCATATAAAGGTAGGTTCATCTGCTTTAATGTTTTTTAATTTATAGAATAATGTATTTAACATTTCAACGTTTTGCTTTTTAACTGGAATTAATTCAGTTGACACTGACAATTCAGATAAAAGGGAGATCTTAGGATTTTAGTCTTTAAAGCATAAATGCAATGTTTTCTCTTGTTTTATTTTTGTTTGAATAATATGAAAAATAATGCATTTATGAAATTTAAAAAAAAATATTTTTCCTTTACCTCTAGAACAGTATGGATTCCATCAAAGACAATACAGATATTGCCTGTTACTTTATTACCAAGCATTCCTGGAAGGGCAAGTAAGTATTTAAATATTTCTTTATTTTTATTTGTCTGTACTGTTGTGGCTAAATAAAAAAAAAAAATTTAAAAAAAAAGAAAAATTCTTTCATTTCTTTATATTGTTCTGCTACATAACTTGTCTCTAAAGATGAAACAAAACAAAAATCTTTGTATTCTTAAATAATTAGTCAGTGCAAAATGGATATAAACCAATGAAGTTATTTGTTGTTCAATTCTTTTATACAAAGATGATTATCACCATTATTAGTGATAACTCTAACTTTTGGGAAACATTATTTTGGCTTTAAGTGACTGTCAAGTCAGTTGTGTTGTAATCAGTTTTTAAAATTCTATAAGGTTTTAATTCTTGGTTTTTCTTCTTAAAGGTATAAGCGGATCTTCTCTGTAGGCACCCATGGCATTACCACATACAATCCTGCTACATTGGAGATCACAAACCAGGTAAAAAAATATATATATATATATATATATATATATATACATACACACGCACACCTCTGCAACAGCAAATGGCCTCACATGGTGTTTCTTCTTGTGTTTTTAAGCCTCACATGGTGTTTCTTCTGCAGTGTCTTAAAAATGATATATTTTTATATTTTATGAGAGTGAAATCATTTTTTATACAAATATTTTCTGATTATGGAAATATTGAAAAGGATTAAAAATAAATTTGATGCTAAAAAAAAAAGAAAAAAAATTTTTTTTTTTTTTTTTTTTTTTTTTAATGGCTTAATTAAAAAAATATTCCCTGAAAGGATTAAGATAATATTAAAATATTTCCTTAATATAAAGTTTTAAATATTTAACAAAGCTTAGCTTTAAAAGTAATTTTCTGCTTTAATTATAGAAGAGATTCATCAGAATTTAAAGTTTGGCATATTTAGTGTCATTATTTTGGCAAAATTGCTTTACACTATACAGACTTTATAATTATTACCTTTACTCCATTATTACTGTTGTTTTCTATTAAAAAAAATGGAGTAAAGTTAATAAAAGTTTCATCTACAAATTATGAAAACATACTTTTATATTGCCACTATTCTTTGGTTATTGTTATAACACACTCTCACTCATATAACGTACTTCGTATAAGAGTTCTCTATATGTAATGCTTCAGCTACTTGCCATGATGCCTGTATTAGTTAGTCTGAAGACTGACTCCAAATGGCTACCAGTCTAACCTCTGGAGCTCTTTATAGCATTGGACTAGTTCATATAGTCACCAGGAGTGTACTATTTACTCCACAACACGTACTAATTCTTTATCCATAGAAGCAAACAATTCATATCTTCATTTGAAGTTTGAAATGTTACCTTTTGCTCATTTACTCTTCATTGCTATTTATCTATTTTATTAAGATGTGTTTTTTTTCCATTTTTATATTTAGCATTGTAGTTTTACTATAATTGCGTCCTGGGTATGATGATAAACTACATCCACATCCTGGGTATGACGATAAACTACATCCAACAGCAAGGCCTCTGATAATACGTGTTTTGAAAAAAAAAAAGTATTACCAGCTATACATTTTTGACAAAAAAATATTAACAAAAATGGATTTTTGACAAAGCAACAATTTTACCAAGGGTGGGTAGAGGGGAGTTGTCGGCATTAAATGACCCATTGAGGTTGATATGCCGTAAAACAAAACAAACAAAAAAAACAATAACTATAATCATTTTTTTATTTTTTTTTTATTTTTATTTTTTTCTTCTCCTGTATTTGAAATTTTTTTTTTCTTGTACAGTGGCCGTATGGAGAATTTATTAGTATTGTGCCTGTCATTAAGGCACCTGTCAATAATGAATTCCACATCACAATGCGGAAGAGCAATCGAAAAACAGACACGATGCGATTCTCTACAGATCATCGGCCAGACTTGCTAACTGAAGCATTGGTAAGACTATTAATTTACTTTTACCTCTCTCTAATTCATGCAATTTTTAAAATAGTTTTGCATTAATTTGTACAAAGTAAATTCTAAGTTAGGTTTTATGTTTCTAACACTTATTATTTTTTATGAATGAAGCATGCTGCTTATATGGAAAGATGTTAACTTTTGATACATACTTTAATGCACATTGAATGAGGAGTTAATAAAATAGTGCTTGATGTAACATAACAGAGTTATTAAGTATATAAATTAGGTACCTCCACGAGATCGCTAAAAAAAGAGCATAGCATGATGAAAAAGTCGCCAAACTTGACGAAAACAAAATTTTATCGTCTAAATGTTTGTTATTATTAAGAGGAAAGGTCAAAAGTATTTTTTGGGGTATTTTTTTCCATTTTTAATCGTTCCTAGCATGTCCAAAATTTTCGTTAAAATCTAGATTTTTTTGAGTCAGCAAGATTGACCATTTTTTTTCCATTTAAAAAAAACTGAAATCTGACTTTGAAATTTTTTTAAATATCAATTATCATTTTTCAAAACTTATTTTAAGAAAATCAGAAATTATAATGTTTATTTAAAATATTTTGAACCAAACTTAACTTAGCTTTTTGTGCCAAAAAGATGTAATTTGAAAATAAAACAAAGCAGGTCATAAGCGTTTGCGTCACTTGACAGGTGATGAATGACATATTGACGGATTCCGTGAGGATAATTTATTCTATGGAAGGAGAAAAGTGAAATAATTTACATTTAAGTGAACAAATTATTTACATCGTTATTATTAAGGAAAACTTTGTGCTCTAATTTTTTTTTTGTACTTAGCTTTCATCTTTACGTTTACGATGCTTTATGGAAAATATATTATAAAGAAATTAAAATAGAACTGTTAAGAGTGAGATTAAATTTCATATTTCATAAGAAAGGTATCTAATTAATTTATATGTACCTTTCTTATGAAATTTTATCAGAAGTGTACATAAAATACTATAATTTTATGTACATTTATTACATTTTACTGTGTTATTTGTATTTCCATTCATTTTATTATTAATTTTGATATTTCATTTATGGAAAAATGTCGTAACTGAGATTAATATAAAAATAAGATCATATAAATTTCATAAGATGATACTGATACTTGTAGGTACCCTTCTCAGTTGAAATTGAAAAATCAAATTAACCTCTCCACATATGTTTCGCAAAAGTAAAGGCCTTAACAGGGGAGAACAATGTTTAACTCAAATAACGCAACTTAATTGTATTCTGGTTGGTCTTCCATACTTTATAATTACAGCCCGATTATAAACACAAAATTACATTTCTTAATTACTGCGGATCTTCTGATTAGTCGAAATGATACAATTTATAACACGCTAAAAAAGATCTATCTCATAAGGAGACTTTGGAAACCTGATGCAGCTTTTAACTAATTTTATAATATTTTAACAACTTTAATGTAAAAATCTATTATAATTAAGAAAGAACAAATTAATGTATTAAAAATTCATTTTTCATCAAAAAAATTTTTTGCTTTCAGAAAATATTGTCCATATTCATAAAAACAACTAAAAGCAAATAAAAGCATTTGAAATTAAATAATATCTTTGTTTTATTGAGTTTTGTATGTTACAATTCAGAGCTGATTTTCGGGTAGGAGGAGTCCAATTAAAAACAAAAAAAAACATGATTTGAATTCCTCAAAGCCTTGTGCTTTTAACTATTGTAATCACTAAACCTGATGCGATCAAATATCTAGCGTTTTCATAAATAGGGGGGTAATAAATGTAAACAAAAATATTTCTGCCATAACTTTAATAAAAAAAAAGATATTTATAATAATTTCAATTATCTGTGAATAGTTCCTGTAAGTTTCATTAACATCCGGCAATTATTTTTATTTTTGCAAGATTTTCCAAATTAATGTGTGTCATACCAAAGAAATGTGCTAAAAATTGTCTGTTATTTTACTAGTTCCGGTGATACAAAGAGAAACAAGGTTTTTTTAATCAAAATTTAGAATGTTCTAAAAAGAAGGAAATATTTTAAAAAATAATAATAAAAAAAAAAAACTTTGGTCTTTCGTCTTAATAAAATGTGCATTTAGACGATAAAATTTTGTTTTCGGCAAGGTTGGCATCTTTTTCATCAAGCTATGCTTTTTTTTTTTTTTTATTTAGTGATTTCGTGGAGGTACCTATAATAAATATACGTTTATTTTTTTCTCACTGGTAACACAACTTGGAGTTTCATGCACAATGCAATCTTCAGGTGCTGAGTAGGTCGTGTTGTGCATGAAACTCAGTCATGCTACTAGTGAAGTGGGGGAGATGTATATTTATTAATATATATAAAAAAAAAAAATAGCCAAAAATATCAGCCACTGTTCTATATGCAAAGGTGAGGAACCTCCTGTAGGCTAATTTTATCTTCAACATTCACTACTATAGGCTATAAGTTTACTTCCAATACTAACTTATATCTAGCCTGACTACATATTATTTTATCAAATGACATTATTATTATCTTCATCTGCTTTCTGTTTAGTACACTCCCTTATCAAGTCATTACCCTATCTCTGGATGCATTCTCTTCCCACAAATTCTGAAAAATGATACTTCTTATATAAAGTGTTTATATTTTCTTTATATTGATAATTATTATTACTGGTACTGTAAAAGTACCAACTGATGCATCATACCTAAATATTACTCAAAACACTCCTATCAACCAGCTGGAAATTACAAAAGAAAGGAATTTAACTAAAAAGAAATACTGTCAATGTTAAAACATTAATATGAGAAACATAAAATTAAGGCTGCAGTGAAATATATCCATTATATGAATTGGTCAGAGAAGAATTACTGATGAAGAGATGGGTGTGTTTACATATGGCAGTAGGGCAGCTTAGTAATAGTAGATGCATCACAGATAGTACTGGTTGAGTTTATAAAATTATATCTTCAAGAATATGGATGCAAGAAATTGGAGATCAAGCTACACTATTTGCTACAAACTATAATTGAAGGATTATGCTGAGGAATATTAGAAGAGGGCAACAAGGGTCAAACACCTATTAAAAAAAAAAAAAAAAACCCTCAAAAAACAATATCTCTGGTGTCATCAAATATCTAAAATAGGCAAATGTAGCATTTGTTGCCCACCTCCACATTCGTCTTAACTTGACAATGACATAAAAAAGTGAGTGTTAAGTGGGGGGGGATTTCAGTGAGCAATGTTCCTATCAAAATGATAATGAAGCCAGGAGATTAGCAGAAGAATGACAGCTTCAAACAATGGCAGGATGTTTTTGGTGTTGCTGGGGTCTAGGGAAACTGTAGGATTTATCATTGCATACAAAAACATGTGTTGCACAGAAAAAAAACAGCTGATAATGGAGAAAAAAATATTAGGGTTTCATAAATGTGCTATAAATGCCTAAAAGGAAACTTGTTTTGAACTGATATAAGAAGGTGGTCAGCTCTTTGTCATGGCACTCGATTACATCGGATTGGTTTGTTGCACTAGATATAACTGGATGGATTGTACATGGTTGCTTCAGTGTAACTGGAATGATTCCTGTTGATAGAGAAAATATTGAGTTGAACTTAAAAGCAGCAAATAGCTTCAAATTAAAATTATTTTCAACTAACATTTGACTTATTTTTTAAAACATTTTGTGGTCATAAAAATCAGAATTAAATATCATATTACATTGTTCTAAAGATATAGTTTTGATCCTTTTCAAAAGGATTATTTTAATCTGGTATGCTTAATGAATCTATTGTATCTTATTTTTATTTTTAGCGATTCCGAAATCAGTTTGCCGAACAAAATACAAACACAAAGGTAATTCTTTGTTTTTCTTTTCTTTATTCTAAAAGTTATCTATTTCAGTTTGTTATAATACAGAGTGTCTCGAAAAAATGTACTCACACTTTGAATGACGAGAAAACCTTTATTTATGAACATAGTGAAATGGAATAGCTTCAAATACAGAAGAAAAATGTAATTGAAGAATCATGTTCTCAGAAAATGTTCCAATTGATGACCATTATTGTCCAGACAACGCTGATAACGCGCACCAAGGGATTCGCAAACGACATGAAACAGGTCATTAGGAATATCGCGACATTGTCTTTCAATTTCAAATTTCAATGCATCAATTGTTCTTGGTTTGGTGCGATAAACATTGTCTTTGAGATATCCCCACAAAAAGAAGTCCATGGGCGTGAGGTCTGGGGAACTCGCGGGTATTCAATGGTACCACTTCATCCAATCCATGTGTCTGGAAAAGCTGCATCGAGGTGAGCGCGTACATCGCGATGGTAGTGGCGAGGTGCTCCACAGTAACATTTCAGGACAAACTTCCTCTTTCCAAACTAAGTTGTTTTCCTGCCATGCTGTGATTAATTAATTACACCTGCAAAAAAAGCATGTTAGAGACAGTTAAAGTGTGAGTACATTTTTTTGAGACACCCTGTATATCTTGTGAAAAATAGAAAATACTTTTTAGATTCAAACTTTTTTGTTTCTTTCCTTCTGTTATATTTACATAGGCATTTATATCACATTCATTAATAAAGACAAATTTTTAATTGCTACTATTTACAATCTGACAATTATCCATGTTTTCCTTTATTTTTCCTTAGTACTATTTTTCTCATATTATTTCCACCCCCCTTTTTCCCCCCTCTTCTTTAATCATGCTCATCTATTTTATTTATATTTTTCCCTAACTTTCTCTTTCTGCTGCTCAGTTGTGTTCTGACCATTTATTTGTGTTTTCTAAAGTTTCCTTTTTCCAGAAAGCATATGATCAGCTATCTACTTGATCAAATTCTTCTAATCTATTTCCCCAAAACTATTTCTTTTTAATAAGACCATTAACAAATATATCTTTTATATAAGCAGTTCATACAGCCCACTGTTTTTTCTCTGAATTTATTCTACCTCACTAATACAAGAAATAGGTCATTATGTAAACAATTTAATCCCATATACTTTTAGAGATAATTTTTGATTTTATCTGAGGAATTAATTTATTATGTGTCATTTGTACCCAACTTCTCAAACCTTACTCAATTTCACTGTTATTAAGTTATCTCCAAGTAATCATCTGGATTTGATTCCTTAAGAAACCTTCAATCCATTTAATTTCTCAGAATTAACTTTCTTAATCAGTTCTTTTAGCACATACATTTTTTCCATTAATCATTAAGTACAATTAAACTTATATTAAATTTTTCCTGATTTTATGGTATGAAACTGGAGCTTTCTAGATTTAACTCCATTCACTGCTGTCAAACCTCTTTGGGGGTCTACTTGTTCTGCACAAGTTGGTTAGATTACATTTTCCCTGCCTCTGTGTTTGACTTGCTGACTTTTTCTACCAACATTAAGGAATCAATATGATTTTTTTTTTTTTAATTCAGTAAATTTTTAATTCTTCTGTCAGATTTTATGTATTTTTTTTTTTCTTACAGCGATTCAATGCCTTCAAACACCATTGGTCTGAGAATCGGGTCCCAGTTATTTTGGAAGCAAACCATTCTTCATTGGATCAGTTAGATCCTTCTTCGAATCGCCTGTTAGCTTCATATGACTACAAAGACATGGAAGGCTTAACTCAAGTATGGAATTTTTCATTATCACTTATAATATTTATCAATAATAAATGAAATCAATTATTTTTCATTATCCTTACCTTTTGCCTCTTATCCTTATCAAAAAAAAAATCCTTTGTTATATAAATTTGATCTTGTTGGAAAATATGAGTAATACAAGTTCTTTTAAATTACATTTAATAATTAATGAAGAATGAATTTGAATTTCATTGCATTTGTTTCACAGAAAAAATGTAATTATTGTGAGTTAAAAAAAACAAAAAACAAAGCATAGCTTTTTTTCTGTAGCAATTGTTGTATTGTGATTTCCTTGTGAGATGTTGAAAATTGAAGTATTAATCTGCAGAAGGCATTTCAAGATGTGTTTTCTTTTAATGTTTGTTTTAAGTGATTATATTTAGAAAATTCATAATTTAGGGTTTTTTGATTTTTTTTTTTTTTTTTTTTTTTTTTTATAGAATTCTAGCAAATTTTATTAATGTTAATAATTTTTATTGTATCATTAAGTAGTTAATAATTAATTTACATTTAAATAAATCAAGAGTGAAAAGTGTATAGAAATTTCTTTTCATTATCTGTTATGCCTTTAATATTAGAATGGTCTTCAAGAATCTAAATTTTGTTTACTAACCTATTTAAATGAATTGTTTAATGTTTCTTTCACTGTTTTTATGAAGTGGTATTTAATGATTATCTATTGTCACGCACCTACGAATATATTTGCAGCAAAATCATTTAATAAAATTGGTTTGAAAACCTTTTTGGATATTAATTTAGAAAAATGAGTTCTTTCAACCATTTACATTTTGTATTTAATTTAAGTTAGTTTCCTTCACATACTGTTTTATAGTATGTTTATTGTATTTAAAAAAAAAAAAAGTAGATTGGAATTGGGTAGAAGGAATTTGTTTTTAATTTGCAATTATTCTGTCAAGTTTTAAATAACACAGTTATTAAAGATAAACTGTTGATTTTTATGTTTGTAATTTCAATGCCAATAATTATTTAATTAACAGGTTTCTGATTATCCTGGTGGAGTAGCTGTGATTTATGGCGGCAATAGTCGGCTGGTAAGTACACACAACAAACCAATCAATGCCACATACAAATGCTTTAATCAGTCTTTCCATTTCTTTTTAACAGTCTTTCTTCATAGATTCTAATTGCAATTCCAATAAAGTTAGTAATTTATCATAACCCAATTGGGTATAATGTTCATTCTTTTCTCTCTTTTGTTGTTAAAGCACTTTTGGCTGCATTGTGAAAAGCACAATCCTCTTTGTTAGTTTTATGTCTTGAACAGGTCACCTTTGGGCAAGGTAGAGTAACTTTCATCCTTCTTTTGGCAGGGTAAGAGATTACAATCAAGACTTGTATATTTAAAATAAACCTTGCATGTCTAATTAAAAAAAAGCAAATTAATGAAAACAATTTGACACTAAGTAACTAATATCATATGCCTTTACATTTGGAAAATTATACTCACACTGTTTCAGCCCTTATGCCCTGTGGCCTTCTTCAGTTTTCTTTTGCATTCAATAACTTTCTGAAATTTTGAACCCAAGGAGATTACTGAATATGAACCTGAAGAAGGCGAAATAGTATAACCACCAAATTGTTGGCAGTATGACAACCAAGATGAGTATACTAATCAAAATGTAAAAATATAATTGCTTGTCTCAAAATTTCCAGCATAATTCCCTTAACTAACATATTGACTTACTCATTTTTTTGATTAGTGGCATTTATTCTAAGTTCAGTATAGTTACTTTAAAACCTGTTTTTATTGGTGTTGGATGGATTTACACTAAAATCTTCATATAAAACTACATGTGAAATGTCATGTATTTTTAGCATTTGTTTGCATTGGACCAGAGGGACCAACTCATCAAAAGTGTGATGGAGGCTGCAGCTAATTACATTGGCATTTCTGTTAAACATAGAAAAGATCCAATCAGTTTTGAACAGTTTCTCTCACACAGACTGGGAAAGTTTAGGTAAGATCATTTTTTTTAATCTTTTGTTTTAAATTAAAAAAAACAAAAAACAAAAAATCTGGTCCTTTACTGGGAGTTATTAATACCAGCAATTTTTCCTCTTTTAATCTCCTTTTCTCTGTATTATTTTCTTATCTTTTTGCTTTTTCTGTTTTGCACCGTTTCTTTTTATTTCTGTCAAAAGACATTTTTATTTGCTGCATACATATGATCAAGTGATTCTATAATTAAAACATTAACCAGTATATCAATAAAGAAATTGATACAACAATTCATGGAAGTTAAACATTTTAAAGATGAATTTCATTTAATTGTAAGCTTGTAGTAGTTTGTTGCCAAACCAATGTAACTTAATTGAATTATCTGTGCATGATTGAAATATACCAGTTCGTTATATTAGCTACTACTTCTGTTTTGTTCTTTCTTTCCTTACAAATTTTCAACTGAATAAAGCTGTAGAATAGATTGGCCAGAATGTGACAGTAATAAAGAGTGGGAAAATATGTCAGCAGTTTTATGGGAGTTACTTTACTAATAAAGATACTAGTATAGAAGTGTTAATATTCTTTGAATGACTGTTTATAAGGAATACAAAAAATTCTTGGAATAATTAAGAATTAGCAAAATATAACATTGCATATTGTGTAACAAGAAAGTATTCACTGTAAGATATATAGTAATATCCTTTTGGTAAAACAGAATTTGGTGTTCCAGTAGTTAAATCTCATCTAAAGTGACTTAATCTTTTAGATATAAACTATAGAAATTGTGATATTTTATAAATCAAAACCTGTTTTAATTTAAATATGTTACTTTTCTTTTGTATTTAACAGCACTGATGAAGCTTTAACTTCATACTCGGAATTTGTGGTGCAGAAAATTAGTCCTCGTCATTCTGACAGTGTACGTAGGATATTGTGTCTCACTGAGACATGTCTAGTTGAACGGGACCCAGCCACTTACAATGTGGTTACCTGTAAGCCTCTCTGTGATGTAAGTTTGAGTATATAATTGGCACACCCATCTATTCTCTACAGAACAATGTTTCCTGTTTTAATAAAAAGGCTAAAGAAAGTCCTTATAATTAATGAAAATACCATTGCTTAAAATTTATATCCCATGGGAAAGAGTTTTTTTTTTTTTGTTTTTTTTTTTTTTTTTTTAATTTTTGACTTTGATTCAATTTTAGTATAAAAGTTCCAAGAAAATTGTTTTAAATCAATCCGGTTATTTTACACTTAATTAACATTGAATAATATTGTCAAAATGCTTCTTTGGATTTTGCTGAACAGGATAAGAGTAACTGATGTTCATTTAGTACAAGGCCCAATAGCCACTCAATGTAGAGGGTTACTGTGTGGTGTTGTCTGAGCATAAGAAAAGGCAAGAAGTGCAGTTCATGAAATGTAGGAAAGATAATGGTTAATCTTAGACTTGGAGAGCATCAGTTTTGAGGAGTATATGTTATTGGAATAATGGAATAATATTAATGGAATATGAAGGGAATGTGTATATTGCATGGTGGGTTCCAGTTGCAAAGGTTAAGGCCAGTGGAACCAAGAAATGTAGCTTGCCAAAGAAATAGCAGTACACTAGTGAGAGGCTTGTGATGTTTTGTTTCTGGGAAGAGAGTTGTAGAGTGGAAAATAATTCATTAACCACAAAGCCATGTAAATACTTTTGAACTCAAAACACCTGTGCTCTGGGGGTGAGATTGAGTCCCAATAGATGTTCAAGGCAAGAAGCCTCCTTGAAAGAAGATCTATCCATTTATGATAGGTGAAAGTTCAAGGTTTGGTTGGTGAGGATGGTGGAACATTACTCATTTGGTTTTGGACATATTGAATTTTACAAATCAGTTCTGGGTCAAAGGAGAGATCAGCTGCTAGATTCTGGTCTTCCAGCTTTTTGGAAGGGTAACTGGAACTGCTTCAGTATGCAAAAAAAAATTTTCAATTTGTGCATTTAAAACATCTGTTTTAATGCTACTAAATGTCTTCACACACACACACACACACACACACACACACACACACACACAAGAAGGTGCTGAAAATTTCTTGGCCTGACCCACTCTACTTTTGATAAAAAATTCTGATGTTAAGTCAGATTTTTGGAAATGTGGCAGGTTGAGATGTTTTTGTTCATTCACACATACAATACATTGTGTGGTATTACTTTGTTGATTTTCATGGTATGCTAATGGTCATTCATTTTTTTTAAGGATCATATAAATTATTTCGTAATTCTAATTTCTTAATTTTTACAAAATGTACTAGTATTCTCTCATAATTGATAATAAATATTGATGTGTATACAATGATGACCTTTGATTACCCTGAGAAAGAAAAAGTTCTGGAAAAACCAAAATGTCTGTGTTGGTCAAGGTTTGATTATGTAGGTCTTAAAATTTTTCCTTTTAAGAATTGTTATGTGTTTGGCTTTCCCAAAGACTTATAAATGAAGTCATTAAATTTTTTCTTTTATTCTGTAGACAAAAAAAGGAACTTATGTTACTGATTCTTACCATCTACCAGCTAACCGTTTTATCATGGGTTGGCTAATTATTTTAACTAATAAAATAACTAGGGAGGAGTTTATTGATGACCTTGGGTTGATTGATTCTGATAATGAGGCATCATATAAAAGGATATCTGAATTTATGACATCACTAAGTTTAGATGGAGTTCAGTAGATCAGGTTTGCCATAGGTCACATCAAAAGACAGGCTAATTCTAATTTGAATCCTTTACAATGGCAATTTGAGTTCTAGTTTGATTGTCTCTGTGTTCTGCAAATAAGTCTTTGATGTTTCAAAAACGGGCAAGGAACAGTATCTGTTCTCTTAAGTGACCAACAGTAAAGCTCTTGCTACAACATCTGATGTGATTCTTTCTGTATTGATTTTCTTGTCTCTGAAACTTTGGTTGCTATAATTCCCTTGAAATTTTCTACTTTGTTACTTGTATTGTTATTGAATCAGTGAATCATTGGCATAAATGTGTGCATAATTTAGTTTTTCAGAGGAAATGCTAAAAAATTTTGATATGCATTTTGTTGTTTTGCTATAATTAATTTTAAATGTTAGGTAATGAAGTTTATGTATTGAGAAAAAATTGTTTAATGGTTTCAAGTATATTTTATTTCCTGTCTTTGTCATCTCTGATGAAAAAGTGGAAAAACTTGCAGAGTAGGCATTAAAAATTACAAGAGGAATTCCATTGGATGAGGTCTGTAATGTAATCAGTAACTAGGTAGAATAGCAATAAATCATGAGATATGGGTAGGATTTAACTCCATTTGACCACTGATGGATTATTGGGGCCAGAAATACAAAGTACTTATCTCCAAGGTGGCAAATGATCTTGGTTTTTCTTGGGCCACAATATCAAGAAAATATAATTTCCAGATAGATATCTGTGGCATATGCAAACTGTGGCTATCCACAGATGAAACAAAAATGAAATTACAAGTAAATGACAAATATTGTATCAAATCATATTCCAATTCAACACTGATGCATCTCAACCTATCAGTCAATGCATTGTAGAAAATACTTTTTCATGGATTTCGTAGTTGCTAATTAACAAGAGTACCATTATTGACACCCTGACATCAGTGACTACACCTTAGCTGGGATTGAAAATACTGCCATTGGGCTGTGGAAGACTGGCATCATCACTTTTTCAGCACCCTTGAACAGACAGTTTGTGTGTTGGGGAAACTGGGGCTATAGATCCAGCAGAGTGTTAGGCAAACTGGTGATGACTCTGGCATGGAGTTTACAGATACCAGTAATTTAGTCTGTGCATATCTTGATAGGTATGACATACACAAGTCTTGTTGCAGAGTGCTGTAGCCTTTTATACTCCTGTTTTATGGAAGTGATTCTTTGTTTCAGTAAAATAACATAATTCTCTTCTCCTATCCTCCATCATGTATGGGTGGCATGAAACTAGTCTTAGAAAGACTTGGCTGACTGCCAGGTGCTCCATCAACACATGCACTGGTAAAGTTAAATTCTATTAATCATTTTTAGGAATGATACAGATCTCAAATTTCCTAGTCACACATAACAAAATACAACTCTGTTATGGACAGTCTTGTAATGTGCCTGAGTGTACTCTGGCACCTTATAAGACTCCATACCACATCATGTGGCCACTGATATTCAGGTGAAAAAAAAAACTATCAACATATCTTTAGGTATCTATTCCTGATTTTTATTGAATAAAGAAAAATAAATTAACAAAAAAAACTTATTCTCCTCTCCCTGCAAAAAAATATTTACAGTTTAATATTTTATTTTAGATATTTGCAATAATTCGACACAATGACAACCCACAAAAGTTCAGTGTAGAATACGTGAAAGGAGCTGTTAGAACATATCAGTCTACAGAAAGGTAAGATGTCTAACAACAAATATTCAGAAACCTCCTCCACATGTTTAAAAGTGAAAAATTTTGATTGAAAATCAATTAAAAAGTATTTATTAGTATATTGATATATATATATACTTTTCTTGTGAGATATCTCTTTATATTTTACTATTTTCTATCTCGTTTTTAATTTAAAATATCTTTTTATTTTTAGAGATGCCTTATTAGCATCCCTGTTGGATGGTGTGCGTGCCTCAGGAAATCGAGATGTTTGTGTAAAAATGACGCATACTAAGCGAGGATATCGACTTGGTAAGACCAGTTTACATTTTTGGATATTTAGTTTGCAAACATTTATGACAACAGTGACTAGATATTTAAGATCAATGTTGCATATAAGGTTTTTCAAATTCTTAAGTTGATTACTAAAAGTTAGGTTCATCCTAATTGGTTTTTATTTTTGTAGAGATAAGTTTCAAAAGCCTGGTACTCAAAATTGTTGGTTCAACTGAGTTAAAGATTCTGTTCCAGACTTACTATCTTTCATTTATATAAAATTGTACATTTGAGTACTCGTGCAAAAGTCTTTCATTTTTTTTTTTTATATTAATTTTTTTATATTAATACTTTCAGCACATACAGCATGGTTGGTTTGAGTTGAAACCAATTTGTAGCATTTAAGCCATAGATAATTTTTTTTTACGTGGAATTGTTACTAAATATTTTTAAAGGACTCTTTAAAATTTGCTAAAAGATTTTTTTTTTTTCCCCTCCTTACACTTTCAGGTCCTTTCACTGTCCCGGTGGATGAAGAAGTGGAAAGTCAACATTTGAGATTCATTCAATGTTGTCCTCGTAAGTTTGATATTAATTTATTTTTTTCCTCTTTTTGGCCACAGTTCATTGTCCTTGAAGAGTTGCAGCAACTGAAGATCTTTATTTTAGATATGAATTGTTAAAAGATCAAATAATTTTTGAATGATAATGAATCACTTCAAAATTATAAACAAATAAGCTTCTATTTCTTTTGTGTGTGAGAGAGATTTTTATTTCTCAGTTTCACAAGACTTGTTAATAAGACTAAAAATATCTGAGCAAATTTACAATTTTTTCACACAAGTTAAGAGTTCAGATAAGATTTAAGAATAATTGAACCTTTGAGAAGCTAAATATCTAGAGCCAAATGAAGATAAAAATGGATTAAATTTTCATCATTTATCACCCTCTCCTCTCAACAAAACAGTTGGTGATTTCATCTGAGCTTCTAATCTTGTTACATGTTGTATTATTCTAGCTTCATCTAGATTGAATTGGGAATTTAATATTGAATGTTTTTCTCAAATGATAAGAATTAATTTTCACCTTGTAATAGGTATCACAGATGAAAATTTCAAACAGGTAGTAGGTGTTATCTGATCGCATCTTCTTAATCTACATGGTTAAAGAAACTTAGCAGTTTTTATTTCATCAAAATATCTCAAACCGTTTAATTTTGGCAGATTTCTTTTTATTTTTACACATGTGCTCGCCATTTTTTTTGTCTATTATGAATTAGGACAAAATACCATATTTGGACTCCTATATTTTAAAAAGCAATTAAGAACAACAGTTAAAATTATACTAGCTTGTTAGGTACATAAAGAAATTAATAATAAAATTACAGATAGTATCACTGCATATTTCTTAAATAAATTCAGTCTGAATATGCAAATTTTATAAATCAAATCTTCTGCAACGACGTGCAAACAACTCATAACCTGAGGTTTGACATTTCATAAAACTGGAAATAAGACCCACATTCATCCCAAATTTCAAATATCACATTATGACTATACCAGTAATATGCCTAATTTTTTGGGGAGTGATAGAATGGATATATTCTGGATTATTCCACTTCAAAATTGAAAAAAACTGCTTTTTAACCCTTTGTCACAAGGTTTTTGAAAGGCCGATTTTAGACTTGCTTGAATTGTGTCATAAAATGAATACTTCTTACACCAGAAACACCAAATTTCATATCTAGCCATTTCTGGGGGTGCTCTTTCCATTTATCATGGTTAAAATGACCTAAAATCAACAGATTAGAATGTATATGGAGCAGATGCTGAACAAGTACAGTCCTGACTCAACACGTACAATTTCTGGACTGTAAAGCGAGAGAAGCTTAACACATGCCAAGCAATACCTACTAATGAACATAAGAAAACAACAGAAAACTCACCATATCATGAAGTGGTATACAACCACTAAATTTGTAACTGAAATCATTAAAATAAAAATATTTTATCTGTCACAATTTGATCGAAAGGTTGAAGTTCTGACACATGTTAGTTCCGATCACTACGTAAGCGGTATGAAATCACCAAATTGTCTCAATTTTTAAACTGTAATGTTCCTCTCACATTATGCACATAAAAATAAACAACACAGACATAAAATTAATCAAATAAAGTTTATTTGGAGGTTTGCTGGGTGTTCGGATACCTCTTCACTGAGTAGTCAAAAGTAAGTCCTGGCATACTCTTCATATAGTACCTCCAAATAATCTAATTCAGGCACTACCCAAGTTCTTCTAGTCTGACTAGTATATCTTTGCTGGCGTATCCAGTTTATATAGTTCAAGTATGAGCCCATTTGTTACTTCCGCACATAAAAGCTTATGACCCATTGTTGGATCCGACAAAACACTGACAGTCAATCCAAAACTCTCACATCTTTCACCTATGAATCCCAAATTTGTTACCTCATGGTACAATGCAGGACGATTCGCTTTTGGACAACTCTGAACTTCTGCTACAACTTTCTCAATAAGGTGTACCCATTTGTTCTTAGGAAAGATTGGGAACAATTTATGTAGCCAAGGAATAGCAGAATCCCAGGTTTCCTGATACTTCTCTTTCAATGAATATATTTGAAGCAGCACCCTCTTGGAACAGTTCACTTTAGACAAAGACATCTTCCTTCCACATCCTTTTGTCATAAAACAACGTTGTAGCTGATTCTGTACATCGTTATCTTCAAAAAGAAAAAAATAATTTATAATTCTATCCCATTTTGTTGAAGTACTACTTAGTAGTCCTCTACAAATTGTCTACATTTTCTTACTGAATTTGAGTTTATTTGCAGTTCATAAAAAAATTGCACTAAATACAATCAGGGATAAATATAAATTTAGGGTCATCCATACACCTGAGTAACAAATAAGGAAGCACTAAAATATTTTCTCAACAAACCTATTTCCACAGTGGTCCTTAAAACTGACACATTAAAATATTTTAGAATAAAATAAACACTCATAATCTGTATGAAATAAATATTACTAAGAAATAATAATAAATTAGGAAAATGAATATTAAATCATAAATTTGTATCTAGATAGCAATAAATCGTAACTAAAATTCATTCATTAGATAATTTATAAAGTAAGAAAATTGTTTGAAGGGGTAACTTTAAACAAAATGTTACTTGGTAACTGAAATGCTGATAATTATTGTGAGAATACTGCAAAAACAAAAGACATTCTAGAATTTTTTTTATCTCATTCTTTGAATATGAACATTTTCAATCAATAAGTCCTACGTTTTTTGTTCTTTTTTTTTTTATTTGAATCTGAGCATAAAGTAAACAAATCTATTTTTGTTTCATATTTTTTATGACGAAAATGGTTTTTAAATCCCATTTACATTTTACATATCATAGAAAATTAATATTTAAAACAAATTCTTATCAATTTCCTTGAAATTTCATCCATAGAAAACATGCTGGTCGATTCTTTTGTGTCCGTGTTGACGCTATTGAGTCTCGCGTGGAGTTGAAATGATGGCTGAGCGAGTCGCACATGGTTACACATAATCGCACACACGCAAAACGGAGCTATCGTTTCATATTTGATTTTGATTTAGTTTCATAGATTATTAAATGAGCGTTTTAATGATATATTTTATGTCTTTTTATTTTTACAAGAAGCATTTGAATTTTACGATCAAACTTTTCATTTGAATTGTTTACAAACTTCTTATTAAAATTAAAAAAATATAAAATATATGAAAATGAAGCTTCTTGCACCAACCTGATATTCCATTATTTGTAACTACTTAAATGTTTCTATTATCAAATAATTATACTGAACAAATTTATCCTGAAGCTCAACACTAACACTTGATAATATGTATTTTTTTTTTATACCTTCAGCTTCTATGAGTCATGATGAAGCTGTGCAACGATTTAACTGTAATATATCTTACAGTGGACTGATACATGCAGTGACACAAGATGTAAGTAACATCCTTTCATTGTCAATATAGTTGTAGTTGAAAGGCAGATCCTTAAACTATTAGTTTTAATAGTAATTGCATATATTTTCTATAACATAAGATAAACTATAATCTTGTAAATTTTAATGTCTATCATCTAATTTTTTAATTTTAAATTGCTTTTGTAAAAATTTTGTATTAGCTATTAAAAAAGATCAAAATTCCTAAAAATACTGGAGACAATGAAAAACACAGTAAATGTGATTTGAAAATTAACTACAGTCAACAATTTTTTTCTCAAAATCTATTTTTTTTTTTCTATCATAACAGTTTCTAAAAGTAAATTAAAATATTGTCAAGATAATAGAAATATTTAGATGTCATCAAGCTAAGCAAATTTATTCACTACCGACAAGCACTTACTGTAATATAATTCTCAATTATGTGTCCTTTCTATTTTATGACATCAGGGTCTTTTTGCTGAAAACAAAGAAAAGCTGATCAATGCCGCATTATCTGGCCTACTCGAACGAGAAGGAGACCAGAACAATATTTCTCTTGAGGCACTTGAAAGTCAATTCCATGCTCTGCGACGACTGGTGGCTTCCAAAGCTGGATTCCAAGCATTCACCAGTCTACCAAAGTAAGTATTTTTATTACATTAATTTTTTTTTCCAAGCTTTCAGATAATGTGGTTTAAATTGATATCTCTCTTATGAGGAGAGAAAAGAAATATATATATATATATACACACATTTTAAATAAAAGAAACTGATTTTATTGTTCAAAATAGTTTTATATGGTTCTTCTGATCAAGCCTGTGGCACAAAATGAATATTTTTTGCTTTTATTAATTTTCATTTACATCTTTGCTTTGTAAGTTTTAGTGTTGGTCTCCACATAAGAATTTTAAGAGAAACATTAAATATTTCTTGCTTTAAAATTTGAACTTTATTTACCATAAATTCTCTAAAAGCTATAACAAAAACAGTGGTAATGGAAGAATCCTGAGGGTGAAACTCCTAAAGTTATGCATCTCAACATACTGTAGCAGTTTTCATAACCCAGGTATTCCTAAAGTGAAACTAAAGAAATTGTATGGGATTATCTTTTTGGTGTTTATAAGAAAGAGGTTTTATAAAATATTTCCAGAGTTGAATGAACAGGGGAGGTGGCAATATTCATTTGTGATATAGCTACAACACATTTGATATTGGAATCACTTCCAAAGCAAGAATTTAGAAAGAAAAATTCTTAGTTTGGCATCTAACTGCAAAAACAATATAAATGCTATTTTTCTACTATTGCTAGACAGATAAAAAAAAAGTTTTCTATATAATTATCATTCATGTCTTTTTTATGGAATAAATTGCCAAACCTTAGTCAAGATGACTGGCAATAGGACACTACAGAGAATGTTATATTCAATACTTTCTCCCATTATACTCATGTAAAAGTAATACTAGTGTTTGTGGCCTAAATTGAAACTTTCTGACTTTGTTCACTAATTTACTATTCTATAACTATTTCCATGGTACAAAATGAATGGGCTTTTAGCATAGCATCACTGCAATCCTTTTTATCCTAACATCATCCCTTTCTATTTATGTATATATGTATTATTTAAAAAGCTCTGCATCTCCCCTTTTGGGTGTTATTTGAAATTTTTGATGACTTTAAAAAAAAAATTAATAGATATTGGAGCAAAGATAACTTACTTTTCCTTATGTTTTATGAGTTCAAATTCACAAGATTAACAGTTGAGTTTTTGGGGACTGGAGTCACCTTCAGAACAGACTGTGTATCATTCATTCCAAAAATTCCCTTTTGGTGATCTGGATCTCTAAAATGACATGAAAAATTGAGAACACCTGTGAAGACTCATTTGGCACTGAGCACAAATCTGGTGGTAGCCTTTCCAATTGCCAGAAGACATTTGGTACAAATCTGCAAAGTGAAGAAAATGCAGAAGTTAGTACATTGTTATTTAACTGATTGACACTTGCTGCATTTTATTTTTGACCAAAAAAATACCACCTCCCTCTTTAATAATGTGCTTACTGTTAAGTGTTTTTTGCATTATAATCTTGCTTTCCTTGTGGCAACAAACTTGCTCCCTTTTAACTTCCCAAACCATTTTTCATCCCCCACCCAAAAAAAAAATTTGGTGGTATTGTAATTGAGTAATCTAGCCTTTCCAACTTAAATCACCACAGTAGAATCCTTTTGGCATGAGATTTTTTTTTTCTTCCAGGATGAGGGAACGTGTTGGAGTAAAAGTTGTAAAAGCACTTAAGCGTCAAGATGATGCTGTCACCCATGCTGCTGTAGATATGTTGTGTGCATTGATGCAGGTAAGACATATCAGGTGATTCAGCCCATTTACATAGCAAAACCATTTCTGTCAATACAGTGAGAAACAGAACTAAGCAGGCTGTTATGTTTTATGAAGAGAGAATATACATGAGAAGCAATTTATATCACCTTTCCTCACAAAACTGCTGCCAATAAAATGTGGGATAATTTTAAAAACAAAAATGATTAAAAAGTTGAATGAGAGCCATTGGTTTTGTTTCTAAAATTAAGCTGGTTAATCAGCTAGAAATACTGGATATCAAAATTTAAAGCTAAGCACCTCTGCATCTTTAATGTAAACTATAACCAGTTTTATTATTATTTGTATTTTCTGCTCTCATTTCTCCCTTATTTTATAGAGAGGATCTGTTTCCATCAATGAAACTTATTAGTCTGAAGTTCTTTCTCAATGGCATGTCATTTTTTTCTCATTTTGACATTCATTTACTCCCCTTATATAATTATATTTTTATATAACTTTTGGATAAAAAAAAAATTTAATATTCTCAGTTCCAGTTACTTACTATTTGAGTGTAAATTTAATCAATTTTATGCTTTGTTTGTCTTTATCAGTCAAACATATATTACTCAAAACAATTTTAGATATTTCTCATAATGCCTTTGTAAATTTCACTAAATTATCACCATTGTCTACAATCTTTAATGCATCCTTTAACCAACACCACTTCGTTTTATTTTGTTAGGGACTATTGAAGTCCACTTATTTACTGTTATCATCTGATAAATAAAATGTAAAGACAAAATTTATCTTAGCAGCAGCATTTCCCAAATTGGTTTGTGAGTAGTCACTGAGGGTTTTACAAGGAATAGTGACAGGTTAATTATGTACAGCTACAGTTTTTGAATCATTTTTGTATTTAATTTTAAAATATTTGTAATTATACAGGCACTGCCTGTGAACTGTCACTGCATATTCAAGTTATTTGTAGAAAAATGTAAACATTCTTAGATGTGATTTTGAAAGAAAGCATGAGAAAGAGTTGACTGGTCAAATCAAATTTACTTTAAAATCATAAGCAAGATTAAAAAACAGTAACCTGTTTCATAATGCTACAAAGTGATCTACAATGTATTCAAGTAATAGCTTTTAGACTTACAATCTCATTTTATTTCACTGTCCTGGGTATGATGATAAATTACATTCATGTCCAGGGTAAGATGATAAACTATGACCAACAGCAAGGCCTCGGATCAGGAGGCTTTGAGGAGCATGGAACCATCTCTTAATTGCTGATGTTCCCAGGTCCACCCTGACCCTGGGTGGTAGTACCTGTTAGGATCCCAGCTATGGGCAAATAGTTAACGCTGAAACTGAGGTAAAAAGCATTATAAAAGTGTAAAAATAAGTTTTAATACCAGAAATACTTTGAAAAAAAACTATTACCAGCAATATTTTTTTTAAAAAAAAACTATTACTAGCAATATTTTTTTGAAAAAAAACTATTACCAGCAATATTTTTTTGAAAAAAATATTGCCAGCAATATTTTTTTTTGAAAAAAATAATATTGCCAGCAATATTTTTTTTGAAAAAAATAATATTACCAGCTGTACGTTTTTGAAAAAAAATAATATTGCCAGCTGTACATTTTTGAGGAAAAAATATTAACAGAAATAGATTTTTGACAAAACAAAAATATTACTGGAGGAAAAAAAAAGTTTTCAGCATTAAATGATCCATTGAGGTTGATATGCCACAAAACAAACCAAACCATCATTTTATTTGAAGAATACCCTTTTGGTAAATGCCATTAGTGTTAGTCCAAGAAATGCTTTGATGTCCAGATGGAGTGATAATCAATATCACTCTAGTCTTGCATCATGTTTTCAAACTTTTAGTTCTTTTTGTCTTCCACCATCACCAATTGCTTCAATAAATGCTTAAGATTGATGCAAACCAACAACCCAAGGTTCTCTTCGACTTATCAAACTTCTTTTAAGCATATGGAATAAATAATGAAGTGAAAATTAGATTTATTATTTGGGGTTACTTTCTTTACTTTTACACGAGTTTTCAATTTGATTACAAGCAAAATACATATCGAATGATTTGTGTGTGAAGTGAATTTCTCATCTCAGTCTTTCTACCAATTTCTGTTAAAGTGACTTATTGCTGCTATTAATGTCTAAAGTAAGCAGTTACTTAATTTAAATTTTTTTTTTTTTTATATACTAATATTCACTCTATAGAAGGCCCAAGAGAAACTCAAGGTAGAGGTAAGAAGTGCAGTTTATGAGGATATATAGAGAAGATAATGGTTAGCACTAATCCTCTTGGGATTTGATTCTGCAAAGTAGCAGTTTGGGTGGAACTTCTTTCTTACTAATGGAATACAAAGGGAATGTGGATGATTAAACCTAGTGTATATGGCATGGTGGGTCTTAACCATGATAGTTAAAATTGGTGGAACTAAGGATTGTAGCTCATCTGAACATTTTCTATGAATATTGTGATAAAATATTGAGATGCCTGCAATATTTTGTCTCAGAGAAAGTGGTTATAGGGTGGAAAATAATTAATTACCCACAAGGCCATGTAGGCACTTTGGGACTCTATCAAGACTTGGCAGCTCCATCCCAAATATGGAAGAAGTACTCCATTTTCAGTCTGATCTAACTTTTGTAAAGGTAGAGCATAGCAAATGGAGTCAGGTACTTACTAGAGTAGTACAAGGAACTGACCATATTTCCAGTGATGAATTGTATATGAGTTCCACTTGATGTCTGGAATGAGTTTGTTCCAATAAGTGTTCAAGGCAAGGGCCCTCCTTAAGAAAACACCTATTCGTTATGGTAGATGAAAAATCTGGGGTTTTCTCGGTGATGATGGAATGTTATAAGTTAGGTTTTTGAAGTTTCGGATGTACTAAACCAGTTCAGCCATCAACAGCAAACCCCCATGCACCTCTGTGCATTGAACTAGGTCCAAAGAGATATCAGCTACCTGGCTCTGATTATTTAGATTTTGGGAGGGGCACCCATATACAATTTTATCATCTGCATAGATATTCATTAAAGATCAGAATATGCTCTTAGGCAGATCATTAATTTAAAGCAAAAATAGGGTAGAACCGTGATGCAAACCTTGGGGAACACCTGCATTAATTTCATGGACCTCGGAGGACTAGCCATTAACAATAATATTCATGGCCTTACCTGTTAGGAAAGATTTGGTAATTGAGGCAGATCATTCAGTTATTTTATAACTGGAGAGCAACTCTATGCCACACCTTGTCAAAGGCCTTCAATATAATCTAAGGCAATCATCCTCATGGTGCCCTACTAATTCTGTGTGTAATGACAAGATATCAGTAGTGGACATTACAGAAAAATTCATATTGTTTATTGCTCAGGAGGTTGTCCTGTTGATTAACAACCTTCTTGTTGATGATAACCTCAAAGAGTTTGCTGATGATACAAAAGGAGGCTGATGGGCCAGTATTGTAATGGATATGAGCATTTATCTACATTCTTGAAAACAGGGCATACAATTGATACCTTCTATAGACTTGGGAAGGATTTCTCTTTCAGGTAGCATTTAAACAATTTTGCTAAGATCAGAGATAACTCTGGGTTAATGTTCTTTAGAACAACCACTGGGATTTTATCTGAACTGGTAGCCTTCTTAGTGTCAAGGCTTTTGATAAATGTGGAAACTTCCCAGGACATGATAGATATTACAAAGTTTGTGCTCCATCAGAGGGGTGAAGTCAGGAAGGGCATGATACTTGTCATCTAACATGGAGTTATTTCATTGTAAAGAGCTTAGCTTTATCTGACAATAATGAAATAACCTCAGGGATATTTATAATAGTAGGTATTAATGTTTTACTTCTATTGAGAATTTGATTAGAGATTTCCCAGAATTCATGGGATCTAACTTTTTTGATCTTGGCTTAGGCTGTTTGTACATAGCTGCACTTTTTTCTTTCTTTTTTTTTCTTTTAAGAACTCTCTTGCAATGATTGAAGGCAGTTCTGAATGTAGCAAGAGTTCTCCTATTCCATTCCTTGTGTTGTAGTGGTAGATATTAATGTAGTGGTTACAGTGAGCTATGGCTGCAGAACATCTGGCATGAACCAGGGCTAGCTATTCATTTTTTTTTTTTTTTTATCAATGATACACTGAGAAAAACTTACCAGAAAATATATATACTTAAGTTTATTAATGTTTTTTCTCTTTCATAATGCTATAGAATAAATTTTATGTATGAGTTTCCAGATATATTTTGAGGGTTTTTCAAAAGTTTAAAAAAACCTTGGGAAATGCTGGTCTGAAAGTATTGGTTATGTTTTTGTCAATAAGTCAATGCAATCTTAAAATGGCTCTGCATTCCTGGTATCAGAAAGCATATCAATTTAATCTTTAGAGTAGTTTGATTGTTTATATGATCTGAACATATACAGTTATATTTAAGAGATTGATATTATTATTATTTATTTTTGACAGCCAATGCATGATGACTATGATATTCGGCAAGAGCAGATGAATAAATATTCTTTAATGTCTTCCAGAAAGTTTTTGGAAAATCTCTTAGAGATGTTTAATGCACATGTGGTAAGTTATATAATGCAACACAAGCATACTTTTGTGTATTTGCATGTCTATATAATATATATAATTTTACTATTTCTCATTTATATATAAGTTTTAAAATAGTTGTATTCTCTTTTCTGACTTAGGTGATAAAGTACTCCCAATATTTGGGAACATATCTCTTAAATGTATTTTGATATAATCTGAATTTTTTTCATTGTAGTTGAACACATTAAAACAAATTACTAATTTATTTTACTAAGTAAATCAATCACCCTATAATCTTCTTTTCTTTTTTTTTTTTTTTTAATACATATTTACATTTTGAAGAGGATCATTATTCTAAGAGTTGTTTGGACTGTTGAGCATATTTTTTGTGTTAACACATTTCAGCCAATTGATTCTACAACAAGCTTCAGGTTCACAATCCATAAGGCAGGAGTGGCCAAACAATGTAAAAGCCACATATGATAAAGTTCAGATGTTTGAGAGCTGCAAGACATGAACAAAAGTTACACATATGTTTTTGTTACATACACATTAACATTAAACTTACATTTTTATCCAATGGTGTCTGAATTCATACCCAGTAAATATTATAAAGCCTGTAATTTTTCTTATTTACCTTTTTTATATTAACTGTGATGAAAATATGAGCTCAGCCAATGTAATTCTATGAGTTACATATTAAAGGTCGAAGAGCTGCATGTGGTTCACAAGCTGTGGTTTGTTGGCCATAAGGAAAGAAAGGAATTTTCTTTATACAGAAATAGGTGGTTGGGTAAAAAAGAAATGGTAGTAAATATACTAACTGGGTCAACTCATTCACAGCAAGCCATGTAATTTAGATGATTCCATATTTATACAAGAGGATGTTTTCCTGTTGCTTTTCGATATCACTAGAATGTTGTTGTTATAACAAAAGCATGAAATCACTAATCTGAGCAATTCTTGGAATGTCTGTCTCTATATTTTAATGATATGCAATAATAGATTTTTTACTTGTAGGTGCGAGGTACTGGGGCCTTAGTGATCTCATCTATGTTGGATTTTTTGACATTTGCACTGTGTGCACCATACAGTGAAACCACTGATGGGGCACACTTTGATACTATGCTTGAAATGGTGGCTGCCAATGGCAGAATTGTCTTTAAACTTTTTCAGGTGAGTTAACATTTTTAAAAATACTAAGCCCATTTTAAGGAGCCATTCAGTAAAGCAGACATCCTATTTTATTTTCTTCAACAGGAGTAAAGAATCTTTTCGTTTCTTTTTGTGTGTGTGAGAGAGAGCTTTAGAATAAGATCATGCACAAGTTGATGTGGTGTTTCAAATATGTTTTTAGTATAAGTGGGGCTACTCTATTACCCCCAACCACTTTTGTTATAATCATAGTTGGTTATATACTTAATGTTAACCAAGTACAGATACAAGTATAGAGTAGTCTATAGATTGAAGTCACTAAGTCTCTGTATTCATTTTAATGAATTAGTGTTCAATATTTACAGCTGAAATAAACTGACCCAATGGCATATCTATTTGGTTATTGAATCCATTTCACTAACTTAAATTCACATTAATCATTGTATTATGAACAGTTGATATATAGGAATTTGTTACTTGTACTCCAATCTTGTACATAACATTTGTCTTAGGTATCAATTTTGTATTGAAAAATTGCTTAGAAAAATGTTTTATATGTAACAAAAATATAATATTGAATGGTAATATTTAATTTTTTTACCATTCTTATGATGAATTCTGCTATGGCTCAAAACTTTTTGAATAACAGACAAATAATGCACTAAATATGACATAATTCATGCTAAAAAACTAAGCTGCTCTTTGTAGACTTGCAATTAATCAGACATTGGCATCATCAGTAAAAGAGTTAAGCATGCAAAAAAGTTTAGGTATTTTTTTTGTTTTTTTCCTAAAAAAGTTGAAGTGTTTAAAAGATTGGTATAAAAAATGTTCCATTTATTTATCAATTTGTACATGTACTTTCTCAGTATACCTATTTTTTTTTCTTTTCAAACTTCATATTTTTCTTTGTATATGTGATATAAATATTTTTTAAATTGATTTTCATTATTTTAATATATAACCAAATGGGCTATAAATCTATTGACCTCTTGACAATTTTAAATTATTCATTTAATCTTTTTTCTTGTATTTTTTGTTTGATTTAAAACTCAATTGTCTTTTATAATTTATGACCATGTATGTTTCCTCAATTCAGCATCCATCAATGGCAATAGTTAAAGGTGCAGGTCTGGTTATGAAAGCTATTATTGAGGTATATATGTTTTTTTTTTTTTTTTTTATCTGTTTTTTTTTTTCTTGCTTCTTGTCAAGTAAATGATGAGTTTGTCAAGGTTTTTTTTTTCTTTTTTTCTGATCTTATATATTTATCAAAAATTGATATTCTACTTATGATATTTTAAGAATCTGTTTAAATTGATAAGCAATAAATAATTAAAGTTTAATTACAAAAGTAAAATCAATTTAAAATTTTAACTGCATAATTATTAAAAATATCTTTCTCTAAGATTTCAACTTTGTAGCATTTGCATTTTTAAAAAAAAAAAAAAAAAATATTTGTGTGATACTCATTGAGTTCCATTTCAGGAAGGGGATGCTGAGATTGCTGCCAAAATGCAAGATTTAGCGCTGGCTGAAGGAGCACTACCGAAGCATCTACACACAGCCATGTTTACACAGAGTACGGATAGTCGGATGCTGACTAACAGGTAAGTTATGCTATTGATTAAAATTGACAATCTTACATGGACTAAAGGTAATCCTGATGATAAACAAGCTTGTGGGTAATTTCATTAACAATGAATGGTTAGTGTTGAAACTGATGCTTAAGGATCTTTTTATACAAGATTATGAATGAAGCAAAAGAAAAAAAGACATTCACTTAGATATTTCCTTCCTGTCTTTATAATTTATCTACAAACATGTTTTCTGGATTTTCCTTCTTCCTGTGTTTTAAAATTTTGTTATACAAGACCTTTGCAGATTTGCTGGTTATTGACAATGTTAGAAACAAATCAGTTGGTTCTTTTTACACTGTATAAAGATTTCTTTTTAATGAAAGTTGTTTTAATATTTGCATTTTTATTTCAGGCAACTGAGTCGGCATCTAGTGGGCCTATGGGTTACAGGACACCCAACAGCTATGCACTTGTTACGAAGAATTATGGTAAGATATTTCTAGAAATAGTACTTCATAATTATCCTTTGTAAAAGGTGATTACATTTTTTAAAACGTTTTATATCTAAATATTTTTTCCTTTGGGACTGACAAATTATGATTTTGTAATTTCTAATGAAAGTAAAGGATGGTGTAGTTAAATGAGGTGAAAAAAAAACCTTACATATATCCATGTAAGAAATAAATAAATAAATAAAAAAGTTTGACTTGACAATGTCACTCAGATCTAGTGGCAAAGACAAAGTGAAGGGAAGCAATTTTGGTATACAGACAAAATATACCACACTGTACTTGAATTTGAGTTTGGCCTGTTTTTTTACCAACTCGTCTATGACATTGCTCATACTTCCTACTTCCTGTTCACATGCACTATACATTGGTCATTTAAATCACCATCAATCTAAAAATTACTGTATGTAAAATCAAGATGAGAGAAGTCAAATTAAAAAAAAAAAAACAAAAAAAAAACAGCCAACCCTATTTCTATTTGCACCTATTTATAATTAACTAACCTGGTAGCTTAATCCTCTTTACGTCATTCTGTAGTTGCTCATCCACTTAGATGCTTGTTGCTCTCCCTCTCTGTGCTTTGTGAGACAACAATATTTACTTTCTTTTATTTGCCTGTTATCACTAGCCTCTTGCTAATCTGATGTGCTAACAAGCCTCATCATTGACTGAAGATATTATTCTGAGTCACCTTCTGTCTTCCCCACTGAAATGTACACCATATATTTGGGGGCTTTACACACGCTTCATCTCCAATCTGGAGAGATGAAGGTTCTTTCCTTTCCCCAGTGACTATCAGTACTGTGTACACTTTTCCATTCATACTTAAATACGGCTCACTGAAGCACCAACCTCACTACCTGTCCTTATCTAAGTAACATATTGTAACAAAATACTATTGCTGTCAAATATGCTCTCTTTTGCATGGTCTTAATTGTTCAGTGGTGTCTTTCTGCAATTCTGTTACTTGGTCTATATTCGACTATAAAAAATAGTTCTGCCTATCATGTATCACTTTCAGTGAGTACTATTATTAACACCTGGTCTATCAGCTCCCTCTCTCAAAATATCCTGTTTACCCCCCCCCCCCCCTTCACCACCACCAATCTCAATTCTAATCTCTCTCTCTATATGGCTACTATTCTAATCCTACAATCAATCATAATGTATCACATTGACAATGAATATTTTACAGTTGTCTTTGAATATTTCCCTTGTGCAAACTATTTGTGGGGTCAATTGACTGGCCCCTATCAAAACTCTTAACTATAAGCTTCTTATTTAGATAATGTTCAACTTCCCTGGCCAGAAATAGTTCTATCTCTTTCTACCCCCAGATGATGTATGCTATGTGATTTCTTGAGATTTATGTCTTCTGAACAATACACCATGGTTAATTCTTCTCTAAGTCCTTTGGCAAACATCCAACCAGATAATCTTCACCCTCTTGGCAACTGCCCTATGAATTTTCTCAAAACTACTTAGTTTCCTATAGTACTCCTATTTTCCTTCCTTTGATTCATAACAGAAATGTTTTGAGATATTTGCTGATGAATTGATGTCATCAAAAGAAAGGACTTTTTTTTATTCAGAAAATTCAGTGAAACCTGTCAAAATAGAAATGTTCCAAATTGCCTTATATATTTACCAGATTATTGTCCAAACTTTATTCATACTTGCCAATAGAAAAATCTATTTGTTCTAATGTTACATAAATACATTGAATATTTTCAATAACATAAAGATAGCAGGAAAAATTTGTTTTATTAAGCAAATATTTTTAGAACCTGAAAAAACTGAATGATTTTCCAATGTCATTGTTTAATAAAGAAAAATAACATGAAATGTTGACATGAATAAAAAAAATCTTTTTATACTTTATTCACTATTCTTATATTCTGTGCTGTATCCTATTTTTACAATGTTCACTGTTTATGATATCTGTTAATTGAAACCACTCATGATGTCAAATTTCTTTTCATGCCACCTTTTTCATAACCACTGGATTTAAATGTACAAAAATGGCAGGCTATTAATCTATGACTTTTAAATACAGTATCAGTTTTCATAGAATCTGGAGGAAAAATAGGCACCATTCTTTTGCATTGTTCAAATAGAAGGCATATTTTGAATGGATATAATAAGAAAAAAAATTAGATAAATTTCTTGTACAATTTTATAATGCTACACTTTTCATTTATAAAATCCAGTCTTTTTGTTCCTATCAAAATATTTCTCTCTTAAAAGCTTTTTTTGTTCTTTCAAATCTTTTCAGCCAAGTGGATTACTGGCATTCTTAGATTCTTCAGCTGAAATACCATCGCAAGAAGATGACAAACTGAATGTGAGGGACAATGTAAAATTAGCCCAAGTTAGTTGTCTTTTTCATGTGGAAGAAAAACTAAAACTATTTTTATAATGCAGCTTATTGAGCAAATATTTGATCCATGCTTGAATGTTTGAAAAATTTCAATTCTGTATAACATTTTCTGAAGGATTTTTTTTTTTTATCATTGTCAAGTAATGAGATAATTGTGCACCTCTCCCTTTGGTCTAAATTTAAATATTCTTTTCAGCTTTGATCTGGATTCTGGCATCAATATATTTATATGTAGGTAAATATGCTTTTATAGGTAATGATATTTATTATGCTCATATCTTTGACAATAAAAATATCTAGAAAATAGTGGTATGCATAGATTACCACTATACAATTATATATGTATATAATGATATTTAATTTTCAACATGGAAGAAATAATATATTGAAACAAACTACAATAATAGTGAAATTGCAATATAAATTGTATAGAAAACATGTTCAAAAATGAGTGACATTAAATAATATGTGTTGCTAAAAAGAACTTTTTTTTTTTTTTTTTTTTTTTTAAATATCTATATGTTTGTAAATATTAATGTGTATATTTTACATGTTGTAATGTGGTATATGACAGTGAGATGAAGTTTTTCTTAAAAAGAAAAACTGGCAGGAAATGTTTGGTTTTTCTATTCTTTACATTCTTTATATGAAACACTGTCTATAGAAGAAAGCTCCACTTGCTTTTCTTTTTGTAATAAATTAAGAGTAAAACAGTAAAGTGTCAAAATTTGTCCTTTCTAACAGGTATAATGAAATTTCATCATATAAAAATAGCATTGTCTGCCAATTCTGGTTTGGGTCTTAGGACTGCTAACTAATTTTAAGTAGCAGGTTAGAAGTTGATTGGATTGGAAAATATTGCTGTTAACTATATATCAACCGAGAAAGGAAAATGCCAATTTTATGGCTATATGTTCAAGTCATTGACATAATTGAAAGTAAATTTACATTTTATCATGAAAAAAAAAAAAAAAAATTAAATAATCAACTTATTTCTAAGATTTTTTTTTAATGTTTTTCATATATTTAGCACAACCCAACCTTTTTAATGTCAGAAGTAATGGTCTGTTTGTTTAATAAACTGACATTTTTTTTTTTTTTTTGTTATATAGACTTTACTGAAATGCTAAAAATAAATATTTTGCACTGCATTTTTGTTAATTTGAAAACTTAACATATAATTCAATATTTTAAATTATTATTTAAAGATAAAAGTCTGTTATATAAATTCAACTTTTACTGACCTATATATTTCTATATACTGGGGGGGGAGTAAAGATGTCTTGAAAAGAGGTGTGCAACTATTTTTGTTTTGTAAAATTCTATTATGATGTATTTGCTTATAATTATATACTCTTTTATTTGAGTGTAAAAATCATCAAAAGAATTGTAAAAAAAAATTTCTCACACACACACAAGGAAGGAACTGAAACCAATTGTATTTTTTTTGCCTGTGAGGTGATTAATTGCTTGTGGAGTTTTTATGAGTTATCTTATTAATATTATCTGTGTTTGTGTGTGTATGTAAAATTTATATATATATATTTATTTTTTTTTTATTTTTTTTTTTCTCTCTTCTTTTTTAAAGGACCATCAAAATAAAAACAAAAAAAACCCACAGTTACAGTTGATTGAAAAGAAAATAGAAAATTTCCTTCAGCACTGGAGAGGTCGAATTGGACTGGAATCCAGTAAAAAACAGGTAATTACTGCATCTTGAATTTTTTTTTCTTTTGGTTCGATACAATCTTTATACTCTTTAGAATAACACACAAATATTAACAAATGACTATTAACTAAATTCCACATCCTGAATTAAAGTTTCAAATATTGATTACAATGTAATTGCAAACATCTTAAATGCAATTTTTGTCTGAAATTTCTTTGCAGCTTCAGAATGATGTAAAGCCAATTGTTCTGCGTAAGCGTCGACAACGAATCAAAAGTGAAGCCAACTGGTCTCTTTTTTACTATCAGTTCAGCCGGGATCATGCACAACCCAACTTGATTTGGAATTACAAGGTAAACCAGATGAATATGTCTTACTACCTTCTACGTAATTTGCTAACTTACTCGTGCTCTTTTATCTGATAACTATCATATAAGTAGTTTTTTGTAATGCAAACTATGAATATGGTAAAATCTTGTAAATGAAAAGGAAATATTTGATAAATTTATTTACAAATATATTTTATAAAGAAAATTATTCATTAATCTATCTTTTATAATTCACTACATACATCTATAAAAGTGGACATACTGACAAATTACAAACTTGATTTAAATATTCCTTCAAATAGAAATTTGAAACAGTTGGTGAATGGTTCATAAAATATTTTTGCTTCTCATAAATATGAATTTAAAGCTTCAAAATATCAGAAAATAGTTCAATTCTAATAAATTGTTTACTTGCCTCTACTACTAGTGGATACTGAAATATTTAATTAGAAAATGTGTAGGTGTACACTTGTGTGTTGTATTCATATTCTTTCTTCTGCTTTTGTAGACCAGAGAAGAGCTCCGTGAAGCTCTGGAAAATGAAATGAGGGCATTTAATGTTGATCGGGAACTTGGTTCAAATCATGTGATAGCCTGGAATCATCAGGAATTTGAGGTCCCTTTCAATTGTCTCAGTGATGAAATCAAAATTGGTAAAGTCATTTTGTCAATTATAATTTTTTTTATGCATCTTTCTTTTTTTTATAAATCATTTCATCCCAAGCAAAGCAATAAAGCCATTAATATACAAAGGGTTATGGAGTGTGAAATAATCTGAGAAAAAAACTTTATTAAGGAAAAAGGACAGAAGCAGGCATTAAGGTGACAGGAGATAACAATCGACATTACATTTAAATTTTTGAAGATCAAAGTTGATTGGCAGCCATGTCTCATCATTTTACAGTTGAAATTGCTAGATGTAGCCAATCTAGTACTGTGCTTAAATTTGTAAAGTCAAGGTACAAAAGAGGAAATCTCTAAACACTTACCATGAAAACATTTATAGAAAAGACACAGGGAAACTGTTACAATGGCAGGAATGTGAATGAAGCTGAGATGACGAATCAGGACTGATAACATTGTAGATTCTTTTTTTTTTTTTTTTTTTTTTTGTCAAGAATCTCTAAATACATAGCAGGAAGCACCAGACCAAATGTGGCAGCAATATTCAATGTATGGACAAAGTGGTAAAATAGATTAAAAATTTTAAAATAAAGCCTTAGTCCAACTTTAGATGTGTCCTCATCTTTGTTACTATGGCAATGTTTCAGCCATTATGTTCTCTGGCCTTCCTCAAGTGTTGATCTGGGTAACCTTCAGGGAATTTCAAACTGAATCCTTTATTTAATCTATGGGAGTAGATTTTCATTCCATTGTTCATCTAGGAATATCTTGTTTTGGTTATCTTTTTAGCACAGCTCAGTTATTCCTCATCTTGTTCCTGATGAGTCTGAATACATCCATACTACTTGAACTAAGGGTTGAATTCATAATTACTATGCCACCAAATTCACTAACTGATGTTTTAATACTTTAGACCAGGGTTGGCAACTTCTTTACCTCCATGAGTTGGATCAAGTATTAATGACAGATAGCGGGCCGGATGAAGGCCATAAAACAATAATTATGGAAATTACATATGCCAAAATGTAATCACTAGTGTTGACTATACTTAAAAATAATTTGTATTTACCACATATGAATGTAGTAATTGAAAAATATCATTTACTCAATTTAAAACATTGTTGGAATCATTTTAAAAAATTTTTTAAATACATAACAGCCAAAAAAATCTATAGGAAACTTTTCTTTTTTTTTTTTTTTTTTTTTGTTCCTTGAAAGCTTCTCAATATTAGGCTTCAAGCTTGTTGATGCCAAGATGAAGATGATTCTTAGTTAATCTTGTTCTGAAATTGTTCTTAGTTTGCTTCAATTTGGAAAATAATTGTTTTAAGTGCTTCCAAACAATGATGCCATCCTTTTTACATGATTCACTAAGTTGGTATACTTCCCATTTGGAAAAATATATTTTGCATAAAAATCAATCAATGAAATGTCTTTAGAATGAAATTTAGATCTCAATAAGTTATCACACTGCATATCAGTTTAATTTGAACATATCAAATGGTATTGCAAAGAATTTAAACTGATTTGCATGCAGACAAAAGTCAGCAAAACGTGATGCAAATTCATTTCTCAAATCCTGGATTATATTCCCAAATACCTCTGAATCCTGTTGTTTCCTTCCTTGAAATGACGGAAAATGTGCATAATTTTTATTTCGAAGTTGATGTTTCCACAACTAGCTTTTTTTTTCAAAAGCAACCATATGATTATACATTTCATTTACAAGCTGAGTTTTACCTTGAAGTTGTAAATTTAATTTATTTAAAGGAGTCACAATATCCACAATAAATGCCAAAGTTGCAAGCCAGTCAGGATTTGAAAATGTGAACAATCCACTCATTTGCTTTCGAGCCTGTGTACTGTTTGGCCTGTGTACTGTAGGTTGTTAACCCCTGCTCTAGACCATTGACCTATGGGACAATCCTGAATTTAGAACTTGGAGCTTTAAGCCTAATGTTGTTCTTGCCTTTTTGCTGCTGCTGCAGACTTGTTAAGTATGGCTTCTTCAAATATGAAGCTGCTCCCTAAAAGTAGAGCTGGAGGAACATTAAAGAACCATGATTAAGGGTGAGACCTGGCTGATCATGTATAGAGGGAAAAGGTTGCTTACCAACTCCTTTAGAATGAAGTAAAAATATTACAGAAGGACAATGGAGAATTATAAATCTGAAGGAATCTGTGCTTATGCTAGGCTATGAAGGCCTTTTTAGTAGGCGTAGCATAGATGTAGATACCATATAGGCACCATTTAAAAAAAAAAAAAAAAAAAAAAAAGAATGTGCCAAAAATACTAGCAACAATTAACACTGGGATATGGCAAAAATAAAAAAAAGACTTCTGTGACAAAGGATGGCGATACAAAAGAAAGAAGCAATGATGGCAGGTGTCAAGCTGCTGCAGCTTTGTTATCAAGAACTGCATTAGGCTTAAGGCTCTAACTTTTTGCTTCAGGATTGTCCCACAGGACAGTGGTCTAGAGAATTAAAGCATTAGCTAGTGAATTTGGTGGCATAGTAATTCGATCCTTGGTCCAAGTAGTATGGATGTATTCATCATCAGGAACAGGACTAGCAATAATGGAATAATTAACCAAGATGTGACATCCATTGATACGGACAGTAGAATAAAAATAATTTACTCCTACAGATTGAATAAAAGGTTGCTTAAAATTCCCTGAATAAGACTGGAAGGCACAATGGCTGAAACATTGTGATAGTAACAACAAAGATGAGGACATTTTAAATGATGTAAATAACTCTTCCTGTAATAAAATCAGAACTTTAAGTGTTTGCATTACAACATTTAGTCAAATTTTTAATTGTAATTGCTGAATAATTTTAAATCTTATATTCTCAACTACACATTGGATCACACTTTGGTCTTTGTAATGAAATTATTTTCATTTAAGATTTTTTTTCAATTTGGTTTCATGATAAAAATTTTTTCTTTTTACATTTGAGAAACAAACACTGATAAAACCCTCAAATAATAACCACGAGAGCATCAGAATTTGTGAAATTTACTATTAATATTTGCTCAATATGTCTATATTTTTGAGATAAGGTATGGAATTTATTTACATTGTTTAGACTGCTGTCCTTATCTTTATTGCCATAGTGAGTATGACAATAAAGATAAGGACAACAGTTCAAACAATGTAAATAATATTGTCTCATTCTATAAAATAATAACTGAATGGATATTTGAGTTAATCTTTGGAGGTTGAAAAAAAAATAGGCTTTTATTTTGAATTTCTATAGAAATTCCATATGCCATGTAAAATTGAAGGAATAGAACCCGAGGGATTAGCATATTGCATTCAAATGTGGTTTAATCATTCCAAATGCTGGTTTCTATAATATATAAAACAATTGGTCATATGAAAAGAGGGCACAAAAGAACCTCTTCATTATTGCTGCAAGTTGTTCATTACATTTGATCCATGAGACTCCTGTTTATTAAATCAATTGCTTTTAAGTGAAGATAGCTATTCTTTTTGACCAAACTATAATACAGTAATTTAAAGATTAATAAAAAAAATTTTTTATGTGAAAATTTAGTTGAAGTGTTATATTTTGTAGGAGATTACTATTTGCGTTTGCTACTTGAAGATGAAGAATCAGAAGAGACGTCTGGGATCAAGAGATCGTAAGCTTTTTTTCATTAATGATTTGAATTTTTAATTTTAATAGTGCCATTTCATATTTATTGGTGAAGCTTACCAGTCATGCTTTCTCTGTTGTACATAAATGAATACATTGCTTATATGACTATTCTTTTCTGCTTTAAATGCTAATCGAGGCCTTCATTAAATATGACTAAAGGCATAAATTGATACACACTTAAAACCACCATCAGCAGCCATTTAAACTCAATGCCAAGTCATTGTATTTATAGAATTATTTGTAAATAAAGGAAACTATTTCATAAATGGCATTTAATAGACTTGATTTATTTTTTGAAAAATTGGATCCTTTGAAGATATCAAGAGATTGGTATTTATACTATTAATTTCAAATTGGGCTGGAAATTATTTTATTCTCAAAATTGTAATGGTTTCACACTAACAGAATTCTTGTGATGTTTTTGCTTTTATGGTCAAAAATGTGTATACACACACACAAATCGGATCAATGTTATCTATGTTTAATCATTGGAAGAGCAATAAAATGTTTTCTTAAACCAATGTATACTCCTAAGAATAAAAATTGTTAGATGAAATATGATTTATTGATATTTTGCAAATCTAATAAGTCTGATATTTCAAGTTATTCTATACAGAATTTGTTGTATTGCAGTAATTTTGTTATATAATAAATTAGATTTTATGTGGTTTGAAAGTCTGTTTAATTTCAAGAGAGGAGGTTAATGTTTCTTGTGCACTAAAAATAAAACTCTCATTCTATCATGGAGATATGAATTTTTTTTATTTAAACAAAACTATCAAACATACAGCACACTCTTTTCATTTGAAATCATTTTCTTCAAAAGGCACACAATCATCATGGAAAAAATTTCAAATTTGAATATCAAAACCTTGCTTTCCTAACAAAAGAATTTCAAGATTTGTAATTTTAAAACTTGGGCATATTGTTGATGGAACAATATGTAGACATAAGAGACATTGCCTTGATTGAAACACTTTTGGGATTCTTTCTCTTTAAGCAGAATTACCTACAGTTATAGGGAAGATTATCTTTATGGTAAGAAAAATTTAAGGAAATTAAAATTCTTAATACCTAATAATAAAAAGAAAACATTTTAGGATCTCATAAGATGTTTTGTTGCTTTCATATAGACATTATAACACATACACAGCTTTAGCATGACATATATGTGAATAGATATAAGTAGTAATTATACTCTTATAAAGGTTTTACCACTAGATTTTAGATGTTATGAGTTGTATAGGTATCTTTTATTGAACAGATTTAATGCCTGTATAAATAGCATGACTTACTAATAAATATCCCTACATTTTCTATTTCAGGTATGAGTTTTTCAATGATTTGTATCATCGTTTCTTGCTGACTACAAAGATCCCAATGAAATGTATGTGTTTGCAAGCCATGGCTATTGTATATGGCCGTTGTCATGAAGAAATTGGAGCTTTTAATGATACTCGATATATAATAGGAATGTTGGATCGAGTAAGTGGATAAAAAAATTACACAATATTGTCAAGATGTGGAAATAATTACTGGGCATGAAAAATAAAACTATTTCAATTTTATTTCAATAAAAATGTTTAGAAACTGTTTGAAATCTATGTATATGGGTCTTGTTTTAAATTCTGTTATAACAAAATATATTTAGTTTACTTGTCATTTGTTTTTTTAAAATTTCAACTACAAAAATCATCATAAGGTGCTAAAATAAATGAATCAACATTTCTCTTTAGATTGAAATTTTTTATTTCAATTTTCATTTTTTGCAAATCAAAATGGAGAATATCCCAATTAAATTTAATCCTGTTCAATCCAACAGAAATAACTGGACATTGTCTGATTGCATAAAATTCATTATTTCAATGGCTTGTTGCTTCCAGAAAGTAAATTTTATTGTAATCTAGTTAAGAGTTTAGTTCTCAAATTTGTTAGATTATCATCATATTAGCTGTTTAATTACTCTGCCTTGTGATATCATTGGTTATATAAACAAATGCATCAAAATTATTATTCACTCTAATGATTATATATTTATGATGAGACACTAAATTTCTTGTGCTAGTGGGGAAGGAAGGACAGTCAACACACTTGAGGTTTTAATTTAATGCTATTCACTGTTTTTTTTTTTCCTCTATTCCTTAAATCTCTTGTTTAGCTATAGTCATTTTTTTTCACTAATGATAATGACAACAGTAAATTTTTCAATTTTTAACTTAAAATTTGTTTTATCAACTTTGTACTGTATTCTACCTTGAAAATTAGAAAGATTTTGTCCACAGTCAGAAATTAAGACAAACTTGACAGATGAGAATGGTTACATGTATAATTATTTTGAGTTTGTATATCTATCTTAATTTCTGTATTGCAGTTAGGATAGCTTGTTATATATACAATGTAAGAAAGAAGATTTATCTGGGTTTATTAGAAATGTCTAACGATGATCCAAACTGCTGAAAAAGAAGTTCAGAAAAGATTTTATCTCTACAAATGATGTTGAATGACATAGTGGTTATTGGTATGAAAAACCGAATTGGTGGACAGTTCAAATTCTTACCAAAGATATTTGTAGTTATTTTGCATTACTGCTGTTGGGAAAAGTACAAATCTACTTTTCCTTAAGCTTTGTTTTATCACTTTGTCAACAATGGTTGCCAAAAAGGATTGGGTGAGTGAGCACAAATCACTTTATCATAAGCATGTTACCTGCTCAGGTAATAGCAGCAACTAAAAACATTTGTCTTCAATCTTAAGGAATATTTAGACAAACTACTTGCATCCCTATATGCCCAGGTAAAATGCCATTAACCTGTTTGTTAAACTTATTGAGATCCAGTCATCTCTACAAGCAGTAGATAAGCTCTAAACATTGCCTCTCATTAAAATCCATCTGCGCTGCGCTGTGTGTGTGTGTGTGTGTGTGTACACACACACACAGGCAGCCGGTTTCACCATTTGGCAGCTCATCAGTGTGGATAGACATCTGATTGCTTCAAGCCAGGATTGAAACTCGATCAATTTAATGTCAGTCAGAGACTCTTATCCCTAGGCCATCGGTGCACAACAGAGAAAGGGAATTTTAATGCATTATATATATATATATGCTATATAAACACCATGCCGGTTGCCATAGTGCTCAATTCTTACAAAGAGTGATGCATTAAAGCAGCCATTAAAATTTCCCTTTTCTCCATAGTGCTCAATCAGCAAACAAAATAAACTTGAACTTTTATAAGTTAATTCTTATACTTTATTATTTGGTATGATATTGGTAAAAATATAATTATCATCAATTCAGAAATAATTGTATTTTCCTTCTTGTCTCTTTGCAGTGTACAGACAGATTAGAAAGAGACAGATTAATTCTCTTCTTGAATAAATTAATTCTTCATCCTGTAAGTATAATTAAATCACTGTTTTGCAACCTCAATTTCAACTATTTCCTAATGTTGGCAATTATCAGAATTAAAAAAAAAATTTCCCCTTTGGAATTTAACCCCACCAGCTTTACATAAAACTAATTTGGCAAAATTACTAAATAATTGCTCAAGTTTAAACCATACAATTTTCACTAAAAAAAGAAAAAATATAGAAAAACAAATTGCCAACTGATCTATATGCTATTATTTTACTAGTATTTATATGATATGAATTTAAATGACATAATATGATATCAAATGAATTTCACATAAACTTCATTTGCTCTCGTGGTTATCATTTCAGGCTTTTATTTTACACAGAATTTATGAAATTAAATTGAATAAATTTTAAATGAAAATTTTATATAATTCAAGTTGTTTATTAACAATTATGGAATTGCAATCTTGGAGTTGAAAAAAATAGCTTTATATATAAAGTCAGTGTCCATTGCTTTGTAATGCTCAGAATGTTACACTGCTTTTAATTTTCTTTTCTTTACACATGAAGTGAAAAATAAAGAGACTTTTAGTTAAGGCTTTATTCAACTAAAATAATTTGTTGACATCTATTTACCAAACACAAAACTACTTTTTAACATTGTGGAATATGCCATTCTACTCCAGTGGTAGGAGTGAAAAGGTATATCACTGCATTCTCCTCCTCCTCCTCTTTGAAATATTTCCCATCGCTATGAATCCAAATGTATGGGTGGACAACATATACATCCAAATCTTCTAGGAACTACAGCTTCCTCAGCCATGTCACTAGGGTTTGGCATGCTCTATGGAGTATTATCTAGCTTCATACCTCTTCAAGAGGTTATTTTTACAGCAAAGCTGGATAAACTTTGATGGCATCTACAGGTATTTCTTGGGGTTCCTTGTTAATAGGGGTCTCAACTGGGGTTAAATGTCTAGTGGATACATTTTGAAATTGTCTCATTGATTTGGGGTGAAATAAAGTTGACCAAGAGTTCAAGCTTGTCCATTCTCCTGAGGAAGGGCCCCTAAAAATGTCTCGAACAGCCTTGAACAGCCAATAGGGAACAAGGCTTCAAATTCAATCTCTCAAGTTTCAGTAAATGTTCTTTTTTTTTTTTTTTATTATTTTGTTTGAATAAATTGAAGTGAAAAATAAAGAGGCCTTCAGTTAAGGCTTTATTCAATCAAAATAATTTGTTGGCTTCTACTTAGCAAACACAGAACCGCTTTTTAACAAAGTGGAATATGCCATTCCAATCCATAGTGGTAGGTGTGAAAAGGTATATCACAAGCCATAATTGATGAAGGCCTGCTTAAATTTACAAGCTGGAACATATGAAGTATGTATGACCAAAAATGACAAACCATGGCATTTGGTAAAAAGTTTATCTCTAATATTAAAAGGCCATTATGACTAGCAAAAACTAGTTAATAACAATTCTTTATCTAAAATTCAAATATTACAACTGATACAAGTGTATGATATATGTATTCTTTTGTTATAGCTACTTTTTTAATTTTTGAAATATTTGGAGAAACAAAATATTTTGATAGATTTGTATCTTAGTATTTGAACATTTTCAGATTTTGTATGTTTTACTTTAACAGAAAAATGTGAAAGAAATTTTGGATGCTAATGGAATCAAAATCCTTGTTGACTTGCTGACACTTGCTCACTTACATACAAGCAGAGCAATGGTTCCCCTACAGGTAATTTTTACACCATCACTTTTAGTACTTATAAATATTCTATCAAAACATAGCTTAATTCAATGTTTGTCAAATTTAATATTAATTTTTTCAATTTGTCAAAAGTATGACAATTATTTGTAAAATTCTACTATATTGGAGTAATATCGGCATACCATTTTTAATCCAGACACTCATTAAAAAATAGAAAGTAAATTAATCCTTATTAACAAAGATTGTAGGTGTGTGACAAAATTGATACTAAAAAATCTGGTTATTCACCCGTTATGCTTCAAAAGTTAAAAATTTAAACTATACTTTAAAATCTTAAAGTACATTGTCATATATTAATTTGAATGATTTCAGATACAATGAAATATATTGTGAAATATCATTCTAATGTTTTATTTTTCAGTTTTTAGGAGCAAAAATCCTTTCATGAAATGAATAAAGTAAGCCTAATCAGTGATTTCTACAACAATGTGTAAGAAATAAAGAGAAAGCTAAGGTTTTAAAGAAAAGAAAAAAGGGAAAAAAATTAATCCACTTGAGCCCATCTAGAAAAGTGGACTGTCAGGTGTCACTATCTGGTACAACTTTCTGTTCTCATAAAAGAAAATCTTACTATATCTCTACTAATTATATTTAATTTTTCAAAGAAAAATATGCAGGGGTGGCGGCAGGGCAAAAATGATCAAAAACAGAATGACCACAAAGAAAAAGAATTCACATTTATGGATTAGGAAGATTGTCTTGCCTTGATTGTAATTTTTAGGCTATGAAGGAAGCTACTGTTGATCATTCATTTCTCTGATAGTTTCCAGTTTTCCTTCTCTCCTATTTCTCTTGTTCTTTTCTTGCCTACAGAGTTTGTCTTGCTCAATTTTTTTGCTGATTCAGTCATTGATTTCTGCTGGATTTGAAATCCTAGGTCACAGTACAACTTGTAAATAACTTCATTGCATTGTCAACCCCCCACAAAAAAAACCCTCTCTCATATCCTTCTGATATCCTGCTTCTAGTGTGAAGCAGTCGTGTAGCATTCCTTCAGCTGATTTGGGTAGGAAGGCAGAGATTGAATTTGATTCATTCCTTTGACTCCATCTGATCAAATACCTTTTAGGAATCCATGGTTAGAGAAAAAGGGTACAAGAGAAAGGGAAACAACATCAACTGATATTAGCTGACCTGTTTTCAACAAAAGTCATTTACTTTTTATTCTTGCTGGTTTATTTTATCAAGACTGTGACTGAGGAAAATGGCAATGTTGATTGGATCTCCTTTACATCTTAAGACTCAAAATCTAGTTGAAACTAACAAAATCAAATGACAAAGGTCCATCTGGTATGTGGCTGACAACTGCTTGAAACCCCACATGAGGCACATTATATTAGGTTTACAAAGGCATAACTATTGTGAATCCTTTCAGTTATATTTTAATTTTGGGATTGTCTTGGGTACAATCATTTAGCTAGCTTAAATCTTTTATGGCCTGTTGTAACCTACAAAGGGTTACTGAATGAGGAATAACCAAAACAGGTTGGAAATGAAATGGTAATCTTTATAACTGTAACATCTTTGTCGTGGTCAGCCTGGGGTGAATTTTGGTGTGATCAATGGAGTGATTTCTTCGATCCTGACCTACCCTACACCATGTTGTGATTGATTGATTGATTGATTGATTATAAGGAGGCCAAGATTGATTTGTTGTAGGTATCGTGTTGGGCTGGTACAAGTCAAGCAGTCATGTAGTAAAATTGGAGAAAAAACAGCACTCAAAATATATATAAAAAATATTTACTATTTTTATATTGAATACCGCATACAGGTTTTTGTTGACCCAACCTATTCCTAAATTGGATACAACACGTGGGTAAGCTGGTAAGTTTTGGTTTGCAGAATTTGCAAAATTATTGTTCCAATGCTATCACCTCATAAGTGAATTGACACAACAATTAGCTTTCTCGCCTTTTACTCAAGAGACACTTTCCCAAGGAAAATTTTGCAACTCACATTATGGTGACAATTCATTTGGCCGAGGGTCAACATATCCGCAGGTGTTCAGCTTATTGTTTTCAATCCTGACATCTCTACAAAAAGATTTTATATCTAACTGGGATTTAATCCAATTCTGCTCATGATGATTTCACAGGCGCGTTATCTGTCGAATACCGTCAACATTTGGACCATCATACAAACCAAGTATTGCTCTCAGCTGGTCCCCTGGTTCATTTTATAAACCTCAATTCTCTGGGAATCAATTGTTATCAGTCTATCGTTCTTGATATTCATTTAACCCTTTCCATGGTAGTTTATTCATCAATATCTCATTTTTGTTGATATTCCAAGTTTTTATTATTATTTACCAGCAACCCAAATAGTGTTACATATCAAAATACAATACTCACCAGCGGCATGAAGTAGTTAAACCACTACTAGTAGTGGAGTACTTAAACAGTATATTGTTCCCATTTACAATAGTGTCCAATGTATTTATGAAGATTGGAACATACCCATTAATGTTCATATGTACAGTATGTAGCCTGGCCCAATTTCCAGTCCTCAGTCATATTTACAAATGGCTCCTACAATTTTTTCTATCACCAAATATGGTCACTTTTACTGCCCCTAAACAAGATCTCCTTTAGTTGTACTTCACAACTACAACTTCCTTTGTAAAAATCTACTATTGGGAGTTTTATCTTGCCATATATATATATATATATATATATATATATATATATATATATATTTTTTTTTTTTTTCTTAGACCAATGTAATTGAAGCTGGTGCCGATATGAAACGTGATAGTGAAAAGGAATGGTATTATGGTAATGCTGACAAAGAAAGGCTTGGACCATACAGCTTTGAGGAGGTCAGTCATCACTAATCTTATTTATTTTAACAGCATTTCTATTCATTTTGAATTCGTTCTTGTGTGTAAGAGAATTGTTAATACAGTTATATTGTGTATGCTTTGCATTGTATAATATTTTAGAAGAATAAATGCTTAGTTTAAGCAAAAATAACAGTCTCTTGTAGATATAAAATGCATATTAACTGAAGGTTAAAACAATGAATTTTATTATAAAGACAGTAAAAATAGGCCACAAATATTATCATGCATTTATATTAGTAAGAAAGGAAATTAAAACTTGGTTATTGTAATAAGTTATTATAGCAGGAATTTTTTTTTAATAGCTAAACCAAGGAAGTTAAACCAAGTGACCTACATTAAAAGTTCTGTGATTCATTCTCTTGAAACTAACAATGAATGTCAATTAAATTTGAAGTTTCAAAATTTTCTACTGAAAGTAAAGATGCTATTCTTATTTATCAATCCAGTTTCTTGTATCTTTGAAATAATATTAAAGAAATAGCATCATTAAATCTTGAATTTGAAATGAAACCCCCTGTCTTAATTGAGATATTAAAATTACCATCATGTGCTATGAGGGGTGCTTTAAAGTTCTCGGCTGGATTCATTTCTTAAAATCCAACCAGAAATTTTTTTTTTAGTTCGGCCAAATACCTTTCAGCACTTTCTCATACAATATTAAGTATTACAAAAGCTAATTAAAATGTTATTACTATCATCGTTATATAATCTGATAGGTGTGTTTTGTTTTTTTGTTTTTTTTTTTTTACTTTGCTTTAATTATATCCCCCCCAAAAAGCGAAGGGTGGGCTCAGCAGTTTACTGCATGTAACTATAAAGGAAAGGATATTTCTGTCCATATAAAGAAAGAACATTGTTTACTTTGATATATTATAACTTGACTCTTTTATTACAAATGTACACAAAACACCATAGATGTCAAATTTCTTTTTCTTTTTTCATCAATTTGAAGAGAGCTGAGGATCAAAATTGAACTTTGCACTACGTTGAGAAATTGCCAGTTGTTAGGACAACAGCAGTCACTTGATCAAAATAAAGTGGTGAAATATGATTGGTCTTAAGTTAAAGGCTTGGTAAATGTTGATTGGCTGATGGATTACTAATAGGCATCAGCCCTAACACGTATTTACTCAGTTGACATAAAAATTGCATTGTTGGTTAGGATACATGTATTATCAGTATTTTTAGCTTCATAATAAATTCAATGTTGCTTATTCTTGTTTGGGTAGATGGCCAGCTCAGCATAGTCTAAACAAGTTTCAATTTTTGGGACATATTTGCTATCATAATTCCTCATTATATAATGATGTACTAACAATGTAATGTGGTGAAAATAAAATTCAGTACCTCTCTGAAAGAGTTGTCTTACCTTTTGAGTATTGTTTCTAGAACCTCCAAATTATCTGTTTTTATATACACACATACTTGATTTTCTTTATGCAAATATTATCTAATTAATGTTTTTAGAAATTAACAATTCAACTCTTACTATTAGATGAAAGACTTATGGAAAGAAAATGTGATCAATGCCAAGACAAGATGTTGGGCTCAAGGAATGGATGGTTGGAGACCTTTACAATCAGTAACACAACTCAAATGGACATTGCTGGCCACTAGTCAGCCTGTGATGAATGAAACAGAACTTGCCATCCTCATCCTTAACATGCTCATTCGTGTCACAGAATATTACCCAAGCAGGTTAGTTGAGCTTTGAGAGAACAAAAAAAACAAACAAACCTACAGTATGATTTGATAGGAAAAATGCATCCATCAAATATTTTAAGTTACTCTACCTGAAATTCCCCACAAAATATGCAAATATTTTAGCATTTAAGTGTCTTTTTTATGTTGGAATGCATTACAAACTTTAATACAGCTTAAATAGAATTTTGAAAATTCACATTAAATAATACTTATAATTTTTTTGTAGAGTGGCATGACATTTAATTGCATATAGAATTTGATTATCATATTTTTGTCTTTCATTACATATTTGTAAATTCTTGCAAGTAAATTTCCTACACTTGATATCTGTTTCTTGACTTTCTGTAATTTAGATTAAAAAAGAAAGTGACTTTAAAACATAATAATGCATTTTAATTTTTCCATGTTAATTAATCCTGTCTTGATTTAATTAAAACATTTACAATATGAATAAAGATAAAAGAATATTCTAATTATAAAAAATACTTTTAAAAGATTTGACTGAAAACTGCATAGATTTTATTATGCATTTTCTTCCAAGTTCTAATGATTTTTCTTTTATAGAGACATTGATGGTGCAATAATTCGACCCTTGCCCCGAGCTAAACGACTATTATCAGATGCAACATCACTGCCTCATATAGTTCAGGTAGGTATATATATATATATATATATATATATATATATATATATATATATAATATACACACACACACACAGAGTACCCCATACCAACAGTACAACTCAGTTTTATGCACTATGCAATCATCAGGTATTGATTTGAATTTACTCCATTTGGTTAATATTTCTGAGTCTCGTGAGATATGTTGTTGTTTGGATGAATTATTACAGTTACTAAATATTGCACTATAATCTAATCTTGAATTTGAATTTAGGCTCACACTTACATTTAAGATTGAAAATAAGAATTAGAAATTCTGATTTTCATTAAGAAACAGATGCTGTTATTGAAAATAGGTTTGAGAACCGTGGGGGGGTGTATATATATATATATATATATATATATATATATATATACACACACACACGATTGTGTAGAAGCCAGTTTCATGTAGTATAACTATTGAATTTTTTTGCATGATTTTTAACCTCTACAGAAAAATTGCCTGTGTATAATGCAACCCCTAGTTTTTGTGTGTAAAAAAAAAAAATATAAAAACTCGCACTATACTTGAGTATATATGATATGTATAAAACACACACACACTCTCTGATGGTATAATTTTATATGAGAACAAACCTGTTCAAACTATTTCTCACAAGCTTTTATTGTTAGACATAACATTTGGATCATGTTTTGATGTTTCTTGCATTTATTACTCTAGATTGAAGTAGAAGCAAGCTAAATATCTCAATTATTTCTGTATTGTATCTATTCCCTTTAGACTATTTATAGTAGATGCATTAGGAATCATCAAATTGACACAAAAGGCTGCAGAAAATGAGTTGAACTGGAATTAAATTTGATTGTGAAAACCTTGACTTGTATGACATCTGACATTATGTATACTCTATTGTAGAAATAATGGTGTAGTGAAATATTAATACAATTAAAGTTAGCAACTTATTAATGCAATTGAAGGATAAATAAAATTTACTGACTTTTTAAATAAAAATAATTGTATATCTGAAAATGAAAAGCAGTTAAAGATTTTAAACATTTCTTTTATAAATGTATTACAGAATTTAGAAAATCTTGTACAAAACTTCATTTTGTTCATTGGTTCTAACAATGAAAAACAGTGTAGTCTGATGATTATTTAAGGCATGAAACTGACAGTCCTCTACAAATGTTCTATTCTCTTCCATTAGGAATATAACAAATTTTAAACAATTCTAATTACTTACACAAGGTTTGTTGAAAAGTTTGGTCTTACCAATAATTCCCCACACACACCCAAATGTTAACAAGTGGGTTGGGCCAAGAAGACTTTTGTACCCCACCTCATAATTTCTAACTTCTGTAACTTGATGCTACTAAAATATTTTCACCAATACAATTGTCTTCAGATGTTTCTCTTGTAAAGGAAAATTTATGTCTGAGTTGTGGTGGAGGGTACCCTGCCCTACCTCTTTCCATACATCTGAAGAAGGTTGTAGCATAGATTGGCCAAAAGTTTGTGAAAACATTAGCAACATATAGAATGAGTTCATTAGTTTAAACAAATCTTGGGAAATTAATTTCTTCATGCCAATTAGTTACCAACACCATTGATATTTAATTGATTTACAATTTCTTCAAGTGAAAGAGACTCACTTTTATATAAACCAAAAAAAAATTCAATATGAAATTGTAATCCTAAATATCATTCACTGCATTTTGTACAAAAACCTGACCTGATATTGTGACTAATTTTGATAATTCCTTTCCAGTTGCTGTTGACCTTTGACCCAATTCTTGTTGAAAAGGTAGCCATACTGTTGAATGAGATCATCCAAGACAATCCAAATGTGTCCCGGTTGTATCTCACTGGTGTTTTCTATTTCATCATGATGTACACAGGCTCCAATGTATTGCCTGTGTCACGATTCCTCAAGTATACTCACTTGAAACAGGCATTTAGATCAGATGAGGTAAGAAGATAAACAAGGTTTTGAATACTTGTGTAGATTTAAACAAATTTGACAAATTGTCAACTAGAATTATTACTGGAAATAATAGTAATTACTTTGCAGTGTTAATTTCTTTTTCGCTTTGAACAACTGATGAGAATTTTCCTTTGAGAAATTGCTAATGAAAGTGACTTTGAGATAATTTATTAAACAGGATTTGTTAAAATATTAAAGGTTTAAATATTTCTTAAGGTTTTTACAAGATGTGTAACATTGTAATGACATTCTTTTGATTGCTCTGCCATATCAATCCATTGGATAAAGATACTTTATTGCTGTTTCTGGTTAGATTTAGAGCAAGAGAAACTACTCCACTCGCCTTGCAACAAGGTTTTTTTTTTTTTAGGTTTTTTTTTTTTTTTTTTAAACAAAGACATCTTTTTGATGACCTAGATTGACCTTAACATGTGGGGTTTCCTTCATTGTACAATTATTTTTTCAAAGATTAAAATAGAATTCTGAGTTTCAATGATATTTAATATTAGCTTAGTTCCCCTTTAAATTGATTGACAATGCATAATATTTGGAAATTTGATTCCTATGTTCATAAAGTATTAAACATGAACTGATTTGTGTAGTTCTTTTGCATTTGTATTGTACATTAAATAATATTGTCAGTGCCTATATCTTTATTAAATAGTGTCTATTTAATTATGCTTAGATGAAATGAACCCAGAAAGATGTGAGAAAAATGACTTATGCTGATAATTCTTTTTTCAGAACAAAAGTTCTGATATTATGCACTGTAGCATAATGGGCCATCTACTGCCAGAGGCAATGGTCTGTTATTTAGAAAATTACAGCCCAGAAAAGTTTGCTGAAATATTTCTTGGTGAATTTGATACTCCTGAAGCTATTTGGAGTAATGAAATGAGGTAAGTTTTATACAGCAACAAATAAGTTTGAAATGATTGCTGTTCTTCATTTCACATTTTTAAAGAAAAAAAACAATGCTGATATTTAATACTGATGGATTTAAATTTAAAAAAAAATTTAGTTCTGTTTTGCTATATTTCTCTTGTGCAGGAGAAGAGAATTTGAAATAAAATTCAAAGTTCCTTCATTATCAATTCTCGAATTTCTTTACCTATTCAGTTTAACTCTTCAAATTTTTAAAAGTTGACTTATTTTGCTAGCAAACATATATAGCTTCTAAATGATTACCTATCATCATTTGTATCAACAAATGTGCATAAATGATTCTGATATTCTCTATATTCAAGATAAACAATTGAACCTTTTTTTTTTCATATACTTGCTGCTAGTACATTTCAGCCAATCCATTTTCCAACTCCTTAGGGGTATTAAGATGAAAGAATATATATATATATAATGGTTTCTTTCAGGCGACTGATGATAGAAAAAATTGCTTCCCATTTAGCTGACTTCACTCCTCGTTTACAGAGCAACACTCGTGCTCTCTACCAATATTGTCCAATTCCAGTCATTAGTTTCCCTCAATTGGATAATGAACTCTTCTGTAATATCTACTACCTGAAACATCTGTGTGACACACAAAATTTCCCTGATTGGCCTATCAAAGACCCAGTAAGTATGAGTCACTTGCACTTTTAACCATATTTACTATAGTAATTGATGGTTTGCTTTGTATAATAATCGGTCAATAATTATCATTTGTAGAAATAAGATTTGGACATAGACCACATTTGCTATAAAGTGATTGTACATGGCGTTGTGATAGTTATATAAGATGGGGATGCTGGAAGTACCCCACTCAAACTAAATTACAAATCTTAAAAAGAGTTGTTAGACTGAGAACTTTCCAGCCCAAATTACCATTTTGTATTCAAAGAGAAATGACATTTTTCAAGTACTGAAAGGTTCAGCAAAATTTTATTATAACAGATGAAATGTAAATATTACATGTGTTATAAACGAGTTAAAATGTTTAATTTATTTTTAACTTGTCTGCATTAGCATTATAGCTATATTAAATTTTGTTGTTTATAGTAGAGATGATAAATTGTATTTAAGAAAATGTGTGCTGTCACAAAAAACATGTCTTGCCAGAAAGGACAGAATGGAAACATTACAGTTATTAAAATTATTTTGATAGAAACAAGAACTGTCCAGTGTGATATTAGAAACTAACTTGACAGATGAACAGATTTGATGAATTTCTTCAAATTCCCTAAACTTCTAAGTAGAACTCTGTAAATATGAACTGGTTGTAAATGTGCAGTAATTGAATTGTCTGATTTCATTCTTTAAATTTGGATATTGCCATTGTTTTTAGGTTCGACTGCTGAAGGACATATTAGAAGCTTGGAAAAGAGAAGTTGAGAAAAAGCCTCCATCGATGTCTTTGGAAGAAGCGTATCAAGTTTTGAATTTGTCTAAAGTAGCTGGAAAGTAAGTAGATTTTTACTTGTGATGTTTAATTCTGCCAATTATAATAAAAGAATTCTATCTTGCTCTTATCAATGCCTATGGTGGGGAGCTACTCTGCTATAGAAGCATACATATTTATCAGAAAATTTAAATGAGTCTTAGTATTGCAAGTGGGTGCTGAAAAGCTGACTCCCAAAAGTCTGGTCAAATGACCAAACATCAGAAATTTTAATTCTTTCTTGTTAGAGCCAAGAACTTTTCAGTACCCCTTTCTAAAGGCTGTTATATCCAATAAAGTAGCTTGCAGAAAATCCATGCACTTATAAAATGTATGTGTCAAGTGTTTTTTAAAAAAATACTATTCTGAATGTTGAATGTCAGATGCTATTGTTGAGTGGAAAAATATTGCCTTTATTTTTGAATAGAAATAGTATGCAAAGTTAAGATAGAACAATGATTTTAAAAACTAATAAATTTGTCACATAGTGCAATTATAATAATTAACTTTTGTTTGAAGTTATGACTATAATCTTACTTAATCACTTTGGATTGGGATTTTTTCATTCATCAGTTTGGTTATGTTGTGGAGTAACTTAACACTCCCCCCACAAGATGGACTGGTCTAAGACTATTTAAACAGCACTCTCTCTTACTGAGGGAGAGGAGTTAATGATTAACTGCTTATTACATTAGTCTGTGTTCTCAACTGTGTACCATATTCTCCAGAATAAACTACTTATTTTCTATATGTGTATCAACCTTTCCTATTTATAACACAACAGGTTATATTACTATTTTTAATTTTAGTGGAAAATGTTACTTTATTTTTCTGTCCTGATGTTTCTCTTGCATCAGTGTGTGATGTTGCATTATCAAATTCTCTCTCCATTGTTTTCATTGTCTTGAATCAGAGCAAGAAGACCAGCAACAAAAAGAACTTTCTCATGTCGGATCTTGCCAGCTACATTCAAGTGATTAAGTTTTGGTTTTAGTGTTTTTTGATTTGAGTTCTTTCTGAAGAAATAACACTGAATAATGGACTATTTGACAAAGAAAAAATTTATCATATATTTTAAATCTGAAAATATATCTACATAACATGGATATAGAAAAGAGACAGTAACTGAAATGTAAAGACACAAAGGATTTTACTGACAATTAGAAAAAATGATGTTTTTGTAGCTTAATTCATTTAAATTTATTTTTACAAGGTAAATTTTCTTAGTGACTTTTTTTAAAATTGTTACCCTTAAGAAATTCATTGAAAACTTATTGAGGCTTTGTTCTTTCAATTATGCAATCTTGATGAAATTTCTCAAATTTGAGTAATACAGATCATTTAAGTTTAGATTAATTTTTTTCAATTATCATTTTATATATTTAATAACCTTTTCTCTTTAGACATGATGAAGCAAAAGTGAGAAAAGCATATTTCCGCTTAGCCCAAAAATACCATCCTGATAAGAACCCTGAAGGCAGGGTAAGTTAATTACAATTTTCTTCATTTTAAAAGTAGACATGATAATGGTTTTGCTATGACTCAGTTATTTTTTTTTTTAATTTCAGCTAATAAATTTCCATGTTTGCATTAAAAAGAAAAAAAAAAAGTATTAAATCTCAAAATTATTTTTTTTTGTATGTCTTGGGTAATATTTTAAAGTTGTAAAACTCTTAATATTTATTTAGAACTGACTGGACTGGTTTCCACAAACATAAAAGAAACTGATTTTGAACCAGAAAAATGTTTTGATATTCTCTTAAATATATGCAAAAATATCAATTATATTTCTATAATAGATTTACAAATGTGAAATTCAGTCTTAGCTCAAATTACAGCCAAATAATTGATAGCAAGATTTACTATGTTTCTATTCCTAATATTTTTGTAATACAAAATTTACAACATCCAATTAAGATTTAATTTATAAATGAAAGGTTAATTTTGCTGTAACATATTTTGAATTGTTTTTTTAAGTTGTCTTCTTGCTAGTCTAATTAGTATTGTTTTGTGATTCTATTGATAAAATTTAAATGAAGCAACAAACCATAAATTAAATATATACTTAAGTAAATTTGTGTGTGTTTTATTATGAAATTTAGTGTTTAAGTTCTTGGCTTGAACAAGAATCTTTCCCCACCAAAAAATTTGATATTTAATCATTTTGTCAAATTTTGGGAAGTATGTCAAGCTGAGAACTTTCAGCACACCCTTTGTATTTACAGACAGGCATGTTGTTTTTTTTTGTTTTTTTTAATGATTGTTGAACTTCAGTTTCAATTAAGTTTTTTTTGTTTTTTTTAAGTATTAAAAAGTAAAGTAATGCTTGATATTGAGTTAATAAATTCTGTTTTCTTATTCCCCCAGAAACCATTCTCATTCTCAAATTTCTGCAAATTCTAGAATAATAAGTGTCAGCAAGTTGATTTTTAAACAATTATAATGCAAGAAAAATTAATTTTATTTCTTTTTGATAAAATTAGTGACAATAACTAAATATTATCCATTCATGTTTCTCTGTTGTCTTTTATGCAACAAATCTCCTTATCTTTTTACATATTCTGTTGAAATCTTTCTTTAAGGTTATTTACATATTTCTGTTATTTGTGCTATTTATAACATTTTTGTTATATCTCATTCAGATGATTTGTATTTCTTTGTTGCAACATTTAATGTGACTTTTTCTAATTTTATAGGAAATGTTTGAAAAAGTGAATAAAGCCTATGAGTTTTTGTGTAGCAAGAGTAAAGTGCTCCAGGGACCAGATCCTCAAAATATTGTCCTTATCCTCAAAGCACAATCAATATTATTCAGGAGATACAAAGAAGGTTGTGTATATTATGTAACCTATTTAACCCATTTTTATTGCATTCCCCCTCTATATGTTTCAGCTTTTAACTCTTATAATTTTCTCTCTTTCTCACATAAGGGCAAATGTTTATTCCCTTGTTTGAATTTCAGTATTGGAACCATACAAATATGCAGGTTACCCAATGTTGATCAAAACTATCAAGATGGAAACTGAAGATGATATGTTGTTTTCAAAATCAGCTCCCTTGCTTGCAGCAGCCAGCGAGTTGGCATATCACACAGTCAACTGTTCTGCTCTAAATGCTGAAGAACTCCGCAGAGAAAATGGAATTGAGGTTAGTTTGTTTTCTTATTGCATCACTAAATAAGGCTTTTTAAGGACATTAGGAACTATTTTTCAATTGTGTTGAAAGACAAATACATATTTAAAACTTAGACATTAATATCTTTGGTTAATAATATTTGAAAGTATTTTAAAAATGAGAATTAGCTCAAATAAAGTAAAATTGATTGTTGCAACATAAATGAAAGCCTTCATATTCTATCAGATGATTTTAGTTTGAACTTTTCACAAATCCCATAACCCCTTTTGGTTGTAGAGGCATGACATCTAGTACAGCTGCGGTAGCAGTGATGTTTCCTGGGAAAAACAGCCTAACCCTCTCCAAGCTGTTTTGAATTCAATGTTTTTCTTCTCCTAGACTGGTTGTCAACTAAGGTTATTGGGCCTAACTATGTCTTTCTATTTACCCATAGCTGGTGGGAAGAGATGGAGTCATACCTTTCTCTAGGGAACTTGACTGGAATTTGAACTCTGCCTCCTCAATGTGGGCTGCTATTCATTTTCTTTAACATAGATTTGATTGTTGAAAAGCTTGTTGGTCTATTTTGATATTTTACAATTGAAATAGACTTCATATTAGCAAAAACATAAATACTTCACTTCAATGTATTTTTGGCTTTAAGTCAGGGAACTTGCATTCAATTAAAGAAACCTGCCATATGCTCTCTCTCTCACTGTTATTCTTTGCAGGTGCTCCAAGATGCTTTCACTCGTTGTGTTGATGTGCTGAGCAGTTCAACCAGCTCCGATGATGTTGCTGCCCAGGTAAATACTCATTCTGTGTCTTTTTACATTTGTTCAGGATTTTTGCAAAGCACATAAAAGGTTGAAAGAGATATGTTCATGATACACACACACACACACACACACACACACACACACACACACACATTACTTTAGCAGTCAATGTTGTATGATTTTTCTATTCTATATAATTCTCTATCATTTTTATTTTTTTATTTCTTAAACTTGCTGCTTTGAAAACAGCTGTGCTTCTAAAAATGCCATCACCAGACTTTATATAATTTGAGGTTTTCTAACAGTTAAAAAAAAATTGACCCAAATAAAAGATTAACATTTATTTACAGTTTTATACAATGAATATCTCAAATGTCAAGAAATTCTCAAGATTTTCATGTTGTATAGAATTACTTTATAGTTTGTCTTCTTTATCATTGATATTTTGTAAATTGTGATAGTTTTACATTTTGTGTATGTTCAGTTAGAACTCATGTCAGCAACTTAAAATATTCTAAGAAAATATTAATTTGAATAATAAAAATGTGGTTGTAATTTTATTCACACAATTATTTAGAATGGCTACTAAATTGAGCCCATAACTTCTATGTTGTTTTTTTTTTATCTTTTGTTCAGGTTTGTAAATACATCACACAGTGCTATTCTGTTGCTTCCCAGTTTGAAGCATGTCAAGAGAAAATCCAGGAGATGCCGTCCATTATTAGAGACTTGTGCAAGATCCTTTATTTCAAAGTAAGCATTTTTGGAAGACCTAAAAAGCATTTTCTTGTATTTATTTTATTCTTGAACACTTTAGGAATGTATTATAAGTTAAAAAACAATATTGCAGTTATAAATGACAAATGTTTTCATGGATAAAAAACATCAAAGGAGTTTAGATGGAGAGAAATTATCTTTACTGATTTTTCATCTCTGAGAACATCTAAAAAAATAAATTTCCAGAAATATTTCATTTTCAGTTTTGCATAGAAATTTAACTTTTTCATATATGATTTGTTTTCATTTAACTCTTTGAGTGTTTCAAAGACAATTTTTTTCAAATATTTGTTTTTTCATACTATAAGAATACTTGCTTTTTCATAGGTTATTTTGGGCAGTAAAGTGGCTTCCATCACTGTAGAACAAATATCCAAAACTATAATTATGAGAAGTTATTAATATTCCAAAAGCTGTTTAAACTTTTTTAGAATTCATTCTTGTTGTGTTCACCTGGAAGATTTTCAATTGGATTAGCAGAAATATTGTAACGACAACAACAAAAAAGTCCCAAACTAGTTAAAATTTAACCTGCAATATTATGAAAAGAATGCCATGGATTTTTTTGTGAAGTACTTGAGAATGAAATTACCATGAGTTGAATTTTATTCGTCATAAACGTGTAGAGTAAATATAAGAAGATATATATATAGAAATGTCGCGGATGTAAGTAATAGTATATAAAATAAAATATCCAAAGGAGAATTCTCATTTAGAAAAATTAATGCATGGGATTATAATCATAAAAATTTAAAGATTTATACTGAAAAAAAAATGTTATTACATTTTAAAAATGTCTAGATAATGTCTCTTTCTCTCTCATATCTGACCTGTGACGGTCGGTGTGCAGGTAAAATAACCTAAACCTCTCATATCTATGTATATCAAATGTAGATTAAAATTTGGTGATAAGTTTTTGATTGGGGGGGGTTGTTTTTTTTTTTTTTTTTTTTTTTAAACTGTAATTTTTTATTTTTTTTTTTATTTTAGAATATACCCAAGCTGTGTTCTGAAGTTGCTGCTTGTGTGAGTTCTTTCTGTGTGGATTACTGGCTTCAGACTCATCTTTATAAAGCTGGGGCCATGTGGCCACTTCTGCTCTATATGTTTAATTATGACTACACACTTGAGGAGAGTGGCGTGGAAAAGAGTCAGGACACCAATCAGCAGGAGGTGGCCAACCTTCTAGCCTATCTTTGTGTCATTGCATGTGCACGATTGGCTGGCTACAATCATCCAGGGGACAATTCATGCCCAGATAATCCAGCTGTCAAGAAGTCACTTTGTGCCATGTTGACCCCTTACTTGGCCAGAAAGTTGGCCAATAACAATCCTTTTGAAGTTAGTATGACTTGTTATAACTTTTTTGAATTTTGATGAGATGCAAAGAAGCAAACCAGTAAAATGGAAGATAATTTGGTTGACTTTATTTTAGGAATACATTGTTTCATGTCAGGCTTCCTTATCGTATTTTCATGCTGATGGTAATAATAGCCATTTCTCTATAAATAAACATTCAGCATTCTTTAACTGAGCAGCCAGTGCTATTGTCAGGAAAATAGGTTTCTCAAGTCCACTGTCATTGCTCTTTCCAGTATTGATGGGAGTTTCCTTCTTAACCTTTTGTTTGAAATAGTGTGGAAAGTCAACATCTTTATTATGTCATTATTTTCTCTTCAAATAATATTTGATATCCATTTTAATTATTGCTGTTATTGAAAGTCCTCAAGTGATGTTGTTTCTGCTATTTGGTACAGTTCTTTGTTCAGCACCTGAAGGGAAAGCAGGACCACACTTTTCTATTAGTTGATTTGTTTGAGATGTGGTATGGAACACTTAAATGATCAGTGCCCATCTCTTCATATCTATACTTGTATATGTACAGGGCATAGTCTAGGCAAAAATAAAATAGACTAGGTCAGGGCTACCATTTCTCTTTTTCATATTCCTGATGAGGTCATCATCAGTCACATATGATTTTGTGAACCAATATAATTCCTCTATTAGATCGTTACATTCATTAGAAGATCATTTCTAATGGTTGAGAAGAGGTTTTTCTATTGATGTGGTCACATGCTGCTGTGATGTCAACAAAGCAGGTATACAATTTTAAAGTTAAATTTAAAATTTTATATCAAAATTACATTTGGTATTTAATGAAAATAGTGTGTTTTTGCATAAGCTTTTAATATTGTCCCAATAATTTCAACTTTGAAAATTCTGGTTGTTGAACACACAGACAAAATGTCTTGTTTTTTTCATTTGATTAATTTTGACCCATTGATAATCTGAAATCCATTAAGAATCCTCAGCACATATTTAATAATTTTTCTCTGCTTATTGGTCCTGGGTCTGCTTTGTACTGTTCCGCAACAACTTTGGATAAGATCTCATTCTCCCTATGTGCATCTTGGTTTCCAATGAGTTAAATCCTTGTACAATAAACTTTAGATTTATTTGGTAATGTGTAATTATGTCATAAAACCAAATTCATTCATTTTTTTAGTCTTGAGATATAAATGATTTGGGTAGAGATTATTTTTTTGATTGAGAGATTATCAATGAAAATGTTAGAAACTACTGATTTTATAACAGATTTTCTCTTTAATATCATTTTGCCTTTTCTTTGTTCTTCAGCTGCTGAAGCTGTTAAACAGCAACACAGAAAACCCTTATTTAATATGGAATAATGCAGCCCGAGCACAACTCGTAGAATATCTCATGGACCAACAACAGAAAAAGGTTAGCAGCAATAATTTTGTTCTACTAAAAATTACCATCAGTTAACAATTATTGAAATGTGTACATAAATATGAAAAATAGTTTGTAAGAATGTTTTGACTAAAAAATAAAATAGCATACAATAATATTAAGAAAAACTTCAAAATATTCATCGTTCATTTTGTTGTTCCCACAATGTTACAACCAATTTTATTTACAGTATTCTTCAGGTGAAATAGCTGTAAAAGAGAGCTCTTTGTGTCTGTATTAATGTATGCACATGTGTAACATACATATATATTGATAATTTTAGTGGTCTCTCTCTCTCTCTATATATATATATATATATATATATATATATATATATATACATACACACTAAGAGGATAAAATCCAGCTAGAGCTCTATGTACAAGACAGAGCAAGAATATAATATAAAAGGCCCAAACACAAATATTTCATGGTCATAATTTATTACATTGGACTTGTAATCACAATCCAATTCATGAGACCTACAAATTCAAAAAAAAAGAAAAAAAAAAAAAACAGAAAATATATCTCTGGGTTTTAAAAAAAAAAAAAAAAAAAGTTTGTGTGGGAGTAAGAAACAAGGGTGAGTGGGAAATGTATGAAAGCTCACACCAAAACAACAAAAGTCCATTTAAACATATGTTTGCAAATTTTTCTTTTTTTTTTTTAATTAATTAATTAAAAGTAATTAAGTTTAAGTTTTAATGTTTGTGGTAGATGGTGCTGTGTTGCATGTAGATGAGGTTACATTTGTCATTCATGTACATTTGTGACAATCTTGGAGATCATTTTACAATAATCTTTATGCTTTTATTAAAAAGCTGTTCACCGAAACTAACAAACACAGCATCCAGCTAGGTAACAATTACAGCTGTCAAAAAGGCTGGAGCTTTCACACATTATTTGAAACTCAATCCTATCATCCAAACAAAATAAAACTGAGTTTCATCTAATTTGGCTTGATCTCACAAATGCATATGGATCACTTCCTCATGAGCTAATTCAAATGTCACTTGACTTTTCAATTTCCTGTGTAAGGTTTGGGAAATTATAATGAAATATTTCAGAGCAGCTTTTATGAAGTTCACTGTTGGTAACTATATCACCAAGTGGCAAGCTCTCAAGGTTGGCATCATGTTGGGGTGTGTGATGTCACCACTTCTTTTCATTATGTCTGTGGAACTTATATTATGGGTGCAGCAAACACAGAAACTGAGTGATGACTAAGGAAGAAATGGTCCTATCTCCTTTCAGCACATTCATGGATGGGCATGACCATTCTGGTCCTGTCTAAGGTAAGCACCAATGAACTGCTGCAACACTACCATAAGCTCTTCACATCGGTGAGAATGAAGACTAAACCCAAGAAAAACCAGAGATTATCTTTACTCAGTGACTGTCAGTGAGATTCACTTCTGCATTGGGAGTAACATGATCTCAACAATCAGAGAAGTCAGTGAAGAAGCTCGGAATTCTGTATGAAATTCCACTGACTGATCAGCACCGAGGTAAAGAGGTGCAAAAAGTGGCACTAGATGTGTTTGAATTCGACAAAACCCATCTCTCAGCATACTGTATGGTTTGCTATCCTGGTTTCTGTAGTCATTGCAGGTGTATGATATTACTTAGTCTCGCATTCAGCAGGCGCAACAGTGTATCAACAAGTACCTGATCAAATGGCTTGGAATTCACCCATGCTTCTCCACAGTGGGACTCTATACCAATGCCAGAAACCTGCAACTTCCCATCTCTTCATTGGTGGAGGAGTTTAAGGTAGGGGAGGTACATCTTCACAGGAGGGACTTGGCTGATGAGTTTGTCCACAGGTTACAGCCAGATATCAAAACTAGCATCAAATGCTCAGCAGTAGAAGCCACCCAAGAAGTAAAATCCAACCTGTGAACCAAGGATTTTATGGGGGTGACCCAAACCAATTGAGTTGGTCTGGCCAACACAAGCAACTAGTTTTTCTCCAAACAGGGTCCAAAGGTCAAACAGGACATGGTGATTGAAGAAATCATGAATTTCAAGGAAGACCAGCGAACAACTACTGCTGTTTCTCAGTCCAAACAATGTTCTTGGACTACATGGAGTGATATTGATCTGATGAAGCCATCATTGAATACTCTGATTGCAGTGCAGCCATTGGCAATATTATTCCTCCTGTGGCCAATCTCAAACTGACACCGATGTAACTCCCAACATGATGCTACTGAGTGGAGCCTGTGTTTGGAGGGTGTTAGTTGATCTTAGATCACCTCTGCAATTTCTGGTACACATCATTTGGACAGACACATGCCCTGAAATTACAGCATGGTCTGATTCAAAGAAGTGTGTCCTCTTAGTAGAATTTAATGGTTGCATGGGAAGAGAATAGGGAGGAGATGCACAAATGGAAAAAAAATGCTATGCCATAACAGCATTGGAAGGCATTGCTGTTGGGCCAATGGTATGAGTACAGATTGGCAATGGGCGAGCAGCCAAGTGTGCAGCCATTACTGTGGACGAAACCGACTTCACTGCCACCTTTGACCATCGGAGGCGATCCTGGACTGTGGTATGGAAGTGGTCAGAGAACCTTGTGCCTGAAAGACTGCACAATGGGGTTTCTGAGTACCCAGTAGCAGCAGAAATCAGGGAGGGCTAGGAGCAGGATCTCAGGAGAGTGTACCTCCAAATACGTGTCCACGAATCACTCTGGCCATACCAGACCGGAAAAATTGACTGGAAAAGATATTGCCTGACACGTTTAGGATTCGGATTAAATGTGGCTCCCCTCGTCATGAAGGCGATCATTAGCACAGTGCTGGCTCGGGAAGAAACTGTGAGTCGCTCAGCATCTGCCTACATTATTGACAACATCTATATCAATGAGGATGTCGTTCCCGCGACCTGCATTAAAGAACATCTGGCCCAGTTTGGGCTGGAATGCAAGGACCCAGAACATTTGGCGGATGGCGCATGAGTACTAGGATTGGCAGTCACGATGGAACAAGGTAGATTGTGGTGGAGACGATGAAGCGTGGTTCCTAACACCCCCGGTGTTGTTATGTGACGGAAAGTGTTCTCTCTGTGTGGAAGGCTTGTTGGGCACCTCCCAATGTGTGGTTGGCTCCGTGTGGCATGCTCAAGAGGAGAGCAAGTTCAGTTACGAAGGGCTGGGACGACAAAACAAAGGATGCCCTCCTCCAGCGCATGGTGTCTGAGACTGGATTCTGTGCAGAATCAGAAACTTTTAGCACAATGTTGAAAATTTGACGTAGTTGTAAAAAAAAAAAAAAATCGCAAGAGACTGGCACATCTATACAAAAACAATACCCTGTCCAGTGGCAAAAGCTGCTGGTGGTGCCAGACGTGGCAGTACCGCCTTAGCCATCTAGACTGTGTTACCACCCCTGTTTGGCGGCTGACAAGAGCAGGGTATCACGTGCTTTTGCACATTGTATGTAGAAAAAAAATTATGAACAGCGTTCACTATGGACCTCTTTTAAATTTTAAAATTTATTCTAGTTAAAATTGATTCCCAGAAAATGTGAATTACTTTTAAAGAAGGAAATATTCCATTTAAATTTAAATCCTAAACATGTATGAACCTTAATATCTTGTCTTTTTATGTATAAAATATTCTCTGTTGAAGATTTCTACTCTTTATTAGAGTTTCAGCTTTCTCTTCTAATTTAGTTGAATTATTTTCCTTTAAGCCACTTTCGTTAAATTATTCAGGAAATATACAGGTTGTAAATTTTGAATGCATAGTTAATTTTTTTCTGAAAAGTTCTCTCATCAAAAACTTCTTGTAATTAATTTTACTTTCTTCAAATTGTTTTTTTTTTTTTTTACATACTTTGTTGTTTATACCAAGATTTTTTGTTAGCTTTTCTTTCCTTAAAATTTGTTTCCCTATCAGTATAAATTATGTTTAGATATTTTCTTTTTGGTTTTGTCCTATGTAACTGTTCATTACTAATGTTTGTCAGCCTAAGTTAAGTTTTGGGCTTTTTACAGAAAAACTTACTTGATGCACCTTATAAAGAGGCAGGTTTTGTCCAACTGACTGAACTGGTGCGTATTGTGCTTGTAGATGATGACACACATCAATATGGTGTGTGTGTGGGCAGGGTTACTGTAGCTCCTTCATTTTTCTAACTAAATCTAATGTCTGCAATGTAGCGCTATTTCAATTTATTTTTCTCTCCAAGAACAAGACAATGAAATGGCAGACATTGACTCCATGTTTCTCATATATTTTAATCTTTATAAATTATTACAGCTTTTCTTTCATTACTTCAAATCCTATCTATTAATTTTCCTTGATAACCATTCCTTCATTCATTATGGTTCTATTAATCTTGTTTGGTTCCTATAGTACTAGAACACTGAATTTATTCTAATTTTATCTTGTCCCCTCACCTTTTAGATATAAATACATACATGCATATATCTGATTCACACACACAGGAAGTGACAGAAATACCTCCCACATAATGGTAAGACATTAGCTAGATGAAGACATCATTGCTACTAATATCTTGCCATTATGTGGGAGGTATATTTGCTTCATTCTGTGTGTATATGAGTCATTCTGTGTTAAATCAACAAGGGTCTGACCATCACTGACACTTTATTTTTTTTTTTCAAATTTAGTACACTTATTTCATGATAGAAATTGAATGGTATCTATTTTAAATCTCTAGATCAAAGGGTTCCCGAAATATGACCCTTTGACTTTTGCCAAAAAGGTGAATTTTGGAAAATAGTCAAAAAGTTTAAATATCAATATCTCAGTTGTTTTTTCACTTACAAAGCTAAATTATATACCATTTTAAAGTACTTAGATAGATCTAAAAGATGATGTATTTATTTTTTGTTCAAAGGTCAAATAAGATAACTTGACCATGACCTAACCGTTAATTTCTCAAAAAATGTATCTTTTTTTCTTTTTTTTTTTTTTTTTTTTTTTTAGTTAACAAATGTGTCTGGATTATGGCAAG